GACAGGCCGCCTGTTGCCACCTAACCCGCGATCTGACCGGTCTGTGACCGGTCACACACCGCGACCGGTCACGGACCGGATAAGCGTGCGCTGTGCCGCATTAAATGCGGCGTGGCGCGCTCGTCCAACCTGCTATAAATGCGGTTAGGTGAGCCCGCTGTGCTCACCTAACCCACACACGTGGCGCCAAAACCACAGGGGGTCGGGGCGCCCCAGCCCTCGGGGCCGAAACGGGAGCGGCCCGACCCCTCGGGGAGACAGAGGGAGGGGTGGCCACGTCACCCTCGGGCCCGACCCCCCCGAGGGGGTCAGGCCACGTGGGTGACCGCGGCTACCCAAGCCTCTAGTCACGATACCCCCGGCCCCATGTCACCGACAATATGATACTAACATTTTTATGAGCTTTTGTTTGACTAATCTCATTTGGATATGAAAGTAAAAATGATGAGAGGTATGTATTAAACTTCACATATTCTAACTTTGTCTCTCCTGTGGATCCAAAATATAGTGTGAGCTCCCTCATTGATCTTGATTGATTATGTGCATATGTGTTCCTTTATATCCATATGTATGCACATCTTGAGGGGGAGGTTACTCTATATTTTGTTTATTTAAGATTTCTATCTTGATTTGAAATCATCTTTCATCTCATCTCTCCATATTGTTTATATCGGATTATTATCTATCACAAAAGAGAGAAAAGATTGAAAGATCTTGAATTAAATAATTTGTGTAATTGTTGCTTTGGTGATAGATGATAAACCGATATTTATGGGATTAATCTCTCTTTTACATAAGTTTTCAACAAGGTTATTTCCCGATAATAAGATGTGGTAGATATGCATTCTTTGGTGATGGACCTTAATCATGACAAGGATGAAATTCGTGGAGATAAAGCGATATGTATCACTTCTTATCTCATCCTTTTTGATAGGTTCATATATATGATTTCCATGTTATTGTTATATAAGTGTGAGACTAATGTTTACTTGAGTCTTATCTTATTTAGTCTCCTTTACATTGAGAACATGGAGATCATGAAGGTATGTGTTTTTTGTTTATCTTTATCATTGCTACATGCCTTCTCCATGTGTATAGGATAAACCCTATTAGTTCTTCATAACTTATGCATACACTTGTCTCTCTTGTATATTTATTTGTATGCATATATTTAGGGGGAGCAAATCCTATACATTTATTGTGCATGTTTTAGATCCACGTTGTTCACCTATTATTTATATTGGATCTTTGCATTTGAGCTTGCATACGAGTATATGACACTTTGCGATGTTAATGAATACTCAACAAACATATCCATATCTTTCATATGCAACCGGTTAGTCACCAAGTGGAGGATGACAACCGATTTGTTGGTACTAATGTTCCCCTTTGAGATGTGCAAAGGAATAGGTCTAATTGTGATGAGGCTAATGGATGACACCATGGGTTGATGGTCACCAAGCCAAGGACATCGCCATGTCGACAAGAATGAAGTCAAGATTGTGATGAGAAGAAAGCCTTAACAAAGGATGGTCAAGACCTCGGCATAAACATGGTTCAAGCGAATGGTCATGAGTGTTGATCTTGGCTCAAGCATTGACCCCAAGTTGGATGGCACAAGATAAAGGTATAATTGAAATAAGAATGTTTTCGTAGTCTTTCCCCGGTCTTGGTGTTTGGTGTAGACCGGATTTGCTAGATAGGCGCCGTATTATCAAGAGGGGTCTATGAAGCGAGCACGTCGATGATCTTGTGCCATATTAGTTCATATGCATGTAGGTGCATTTGGTGGTCTTGTCTAGCTAAGTATGATGAGTTTTCTCATGTCCCAAACAAAGAGAGAAGTGGGTATGTCCAATAGGAGTGAGTGACATCTTGTGGGTATGTCCGGTGGATATCCTTTGGAGATGAGCCATTTCTCCCTGAATTAAGTTGTGTTTCTTGGATGAATTGTTCATGGGTTGGATAGCCCTTTGAATAAGATTTCCATAGAGTCTAAGAACGTCAAATTCCGAGACCCGAGTCAAGAGATATCGCCGTTTTACTAACAGCCGGTTGAGCTGAAAAGTGACCTGCGGTCTGACAGAAGTATGTTGTCCGGTCTGACCTCCCATCCCATGGCGGTCTGACCGCTCATCCTAATTTTGAAGGAGGTCTCGTCTTGGCGATCCAAAGCCGCTAGAGCTGCAACCAGTCAGACCGAGCCCCTGGTGGTCTGGTCGAGCCGTGGACGGTCTGACCGGCCACTACACTGCGGTCAGACCGGCCAGGTTGAGTGGGCTCAATGATTGCCTAGCCGTTACAAAGTAGTCCGATCTGACCAGCCACACTATAGTGGTCTGACCGGCAGAGCAAAGAGTTGGGGATTTCAATCCCAATGGCTAGTTTTGGTGGTTGGGGGTATATATACCCACTCTCTAGCAGCAAGGGTAAGGTTTTGGCACTCCATTGCATTATCTTGAACCCTTGAAAGTGTTCTCACACCCTTGGGCACTTAGTTTATCTAGTGAGGTGTTAGAGAGTGAGTTAAGCCAATCCAAGTGCATTGCTTCATTGTTATAGCTAGTGTGGTACTTGATCATCCTCGGCAAGCATCCTAGACTTGTTACTCTTGGAGGTTGCCACCTCCTAGATGGCTTGTGGAGGTGTTTCCCGGTGATCTCTCCGAGGAGATTGTGGAGGAGGCCCGACGCCGTTTGTGAGTGATTTGGAGTTCACCACCTTCGAAGTGAAGGAATAACTACCCTAGTGATCGAGGCTTGGGTAGTCCTCTCCGTGGGCTGGCTCCCACCTTGCCCACCCCTTGATGAAGGGGGCGTGCGGTGGCTTCATGGTTGAGCGGTGGAGTTGGACTCGCCTCAACGGGGATTAGGAAACCGGCGAGTTTCTGAACCTCGGTGAAAAATTCCTTGTCTCTTGTCTCATTTATTTGTTGCATTTACATTTGAGCAAATTTACATTCATAGAGACATATTTGAGCCCATATCACTTAGGTTTGCAAAACTTAACTTAGTTGCTTAGTTAACCTTGTACCTCACCTTGCCTAGCAACTTAGGTTAGTTTTGTTGAAGTGCCATTAAGTTTTAAAACCGCCTATTCACCCCCCTCTAGTCGGCCTCCTTGATCCTACAATGATGCTGGAGCCGATCCTCGGCATCAAATCCAGCTGAATCCTCGATCCTACAATGATGCCGGAGCCGATCCTCGGCATCAAATCCAGCTGAATCTTTCTCGATCTCCTAAAATTGGTTGAGGGCTTTTGATCTATTCGATCTCCTTTTTCTATTTTTTTCAAAATCAACCGGTCGGGATTGAATACAACGAATTAAAAATGAATGGAAAGAGGAAATCATGAGGAATATAACAAGGTTAGAAAATAGATTTTCGCAATCAATTGAAAGAGGAAACGTACAGACGAATCAACATCGTGGCGGCGGCTGGAGAGGCTTTGCCCGTGTGGAGCGGATCGGACTGAGAGCAATAAGAAAAGGCGATCGGATCGGATTGAGAGCAGAAAAAACGGCAATGAAGAAAACCGGATAAAAAAAAGGAAGCCTGAGAAAAACTTCCTTATTTTTCAGCCCTATCCCAGTTCGATACATCCCTTCGCTCGGTTTGTCTCTCCTTGGTCCGGCCCATAAACAAATCTAGCTTGCATAACCGACTGCATCTTCAACCTCTAGAAGATGCCACGCATGACGCCGAGGAGCAAATCCAGCTGAATCTTTCTCGATCTCCCCGAAATTGGTTGAGGGCTTTTGATCTACTCGATCTCCTTTTTCTGTTTTTTTCAAAATCAACCGGTCGGTATTAAATCCAATGAATTAAAACCAAATGGAAAGAGGAAATCATGAGGAATATAACAAGGTTTTTTTCAAAATCAATCGGTCGGGATTAAATCCAACGAATTAAAACCAAATGGAAAGAGGAATATAACAAGGTTAGAAAATCGATTTTCGCAGTAAATTGAATGAGGAAACGTACGGATGAATGAACATCGTGGCGGCGGCTGGAGGGGCTTTGCCCATGTGCGGATCGGACTAAAGAGCAATAAGAAAAGACGATAGGATCGGATTGAGAGCAGAAAAAAATGACGATGAAAAAAGCCGGATAAAAAAAGTGAGCCTGAAAAAAACTGTTTCACATGGAAAAGAACTAATGGGACATAAAAAAAAGGCGAAAAAAGAGACGGAAAAAAAACCGGAAACCTTGCGTATTTTTTTATTAGGCATATAGGTATACAGATATATAGATATATAGATATACTAGAAAAAAATACTCGTGCATTGCATCGGGGCAAAAACGTTTTTTGAGTAGTACAACCGCTAGCAATGAAGAAACATTAGGATCGCTATTCATTATAATTGAAAAAGTAAATGAAAATTATTCCTTTTTTGGGCCTACAACCCATTATTTCCTTCCTTTTCTTTTGAATTTTGATCCACTCGATCTCCTCTTTCTGTTTTCCCGAAATCGGAAAGAATTCACAAAATGGGATAAAAAGGCCGGTCGGGCATAATTGGCGAACTGTAAGCCGAATTGAGAGGGGAAATGTGAGAAAAATGATGAGAGAGGTGGAGAATCGATTTTCGCAATTAATTGAAGGAGAAAACGCATGGGGAAACGATCAATTGGAGGAGAAAACGCATATGGAGACGGATCGAAGTGGCGGCCACTATAGGGTTTGGTCCGACGACGGCAACGTACAACAGATCGGATGAGATAAAAGACCGGATGAAAAAAGCGAAAAAGGAACCTAGCAAAAAAAATCGAATCGGGCAAAAAAAACAACGGAAAAAAAGAAACCGGATAAAAACAGCAAAGAAAAAACAAACCGGCAAAAAAAAAGACGGACCAAAATAAAACAACGAAATAAAAAGAAACCGGATAAAAACACCAAAAAAAAAGACGGACCAAAATAAAACAACGAAATAAAAAGAAAATAAAACCGGAAGCAAAAAAAAAACAGAAAAAAGGATTCGGCAAAAAAAAAAGACGGACCCCCTCTCTCTCTCGTTAACCCAAATCTACAAACCCCTCCCCCCCTTCCTCTCTCTCGTCCGTTCCGGCGCCGCCGTGTACTCGCCTTCCGGCCGCGGCCGGCGTCGCATATCATTTCGCCTCCCTCTGTATCATCACTCCGCTCCACCCCCCACGTAGAACATCTGGCGCCAACTCCTTCTCGTCATGCCCATGCGGTGAAATCAGTTTCGTGGTAAGAGTCCGTCTCAAAGTTATCGCCTTTTTTTCACCCCTCCGTCCTCTCTGGTTCCGATTCGGTATTGATTTGGATTGCTTATTTATACAAGAAGGGAAAAAAAACCAAGGCCACTCCTAGCTTTGGCATCGATCGGCCCGGTTGTTTGGGGATCTTGCGCTCAGTAGCGAAGCCACCAGTATGGCGAGGTATGGCGGCCGCCATACCTGCCCACCGGCTGATCGCCTCATCGCATCGGCTGTTCGCCTCCTCTCGTCGACAGTTGACTCGTCTCCTGCCGCGTGCCGCCCGATCTCCGACTCCAGGTCCAGGACACCGCCGGACGCCGTTGCCACGCTGGACGCCGCCACAGTAATCACTCCGAGACACCAGTTGGTTCCATCTCTCGCACATTAGCAACTATATCCTGTTGAATCAGACAATCAGTTGTTACGAGTAGTAATGTTAAACTAGCTCGTAATATCTGTAGTTACCCAGATTGCGCCATGGAAGAGGAAGAACCATCTAATAATCGCCGACGCCGACTGCGCCCAATTTCAGAAGCTACCCAGATTGGGAAAAAAATAAAAGGTGAGAATTTAATCTACCCTTGTTGGTACTGTTATTTATTCACTTTAACGTATCTCTTATTTTAAATTTTTATGTTTGTTAGTTGTCAGTATAAAGAGATTTTTTAGCAGTAGCACTGCTAATATATCAGGAGGAGATGGAAATGAAAATATAGAAGCAAGAGATGATAATGAAATTCAGTCCATTATTTTATTATATATGTATGTTTTCTTATACAAACTAGAGTACTAGACTAGTACTTAGTCCGTAGTAAGTTCGCCATAGGTGAATTTTTATCCTGGCTTCGCCACTGCTTGCGCTGCTTCTGTTTGTATCTAGAGGGGATCGATCGAATACTTGGGAGACTCAAATCCACAAATTTCGTCAGCATTGCGTGCTGCTGCTGCAATACTGTGGTGAGTAGATGTTTAAAGCTCCCATCTTTTCTCTCTCTTGTTTTCTTTCTGTTCTGACATCAGTAGCACCCATCCAACGCTAATAATGGCCTATTACAATTTACAGTTTATTAACTTCCAGTTGACTGCAGATCAGTGTTTTTTTGGTCTAATGGCTAAGCGAATGAATCCATGTCATGGGAAACTGGTCCCCAAGAACAAAAGAGCCATATTACAGTTTGATGACATTCCTGAGGTAAATACTAGTAGAATCTAGTGTCAATTTCCATTCTATGTACGTTATATAGGTCCACTTATACTGACTGTGCTGTTTTTCTTTTTATGAATGTGAGTATGGAGTTCTGTATATATATATATATATATATATATTCAACTGACTTCTTCTTGATGTATAGGATGTGGTGTTCTTGATAATCCGGTTGCTTTCGCTGACTAATGCTGCGCGTGTCAGCATGGTGTCGCAAAAGTGGCTACAATCTTGGAGGCTCTATCCTAATTTAGAGTTCACCTCGAAGGCGTTGGGTTTGAATAAACGGGTGCACAAACAAGGGAGGAGGGCTAAATTTGTCAGGTGTGTTAACACCATCATAAGGCACCACGCTGGAACAGGGATTAACTCATTCACCTTGAAGCGCAACCTCAACAATCACAAGTACGCACACTATATTGACCGTTGGATTTACTTTGCAGTCCGATCTGGTGCAAATGAACTGACTATTGACCTAAGTCCACGATGGTATGCTCATCCTCGTGATGTCAAATACAGCTTTCCATCCTCTAATGTTGCTGCTCCAGAACCAACCTCTATAGAGCATCTTAAGCTTTGCTTTATGAATTTGAGGCCTTTACCAACTTTTAGTGGCCTAAGAAGCTTGAAGACTCTTGATTTGGCCCTTGTATGTATAACCACAGAAGATTTAGAGAGCTTGTTGAGTTATACCCCTGCTCTACAACAGTTGAAGCTAAGGCAATGTCCAATGCTGGAATACTTGAAGATCACTGATGTACTAGCTAAGCTTGTCTACATTGATATCGTTCCCTGCTTGTGGCTGAAGATTTTGGAGATCCATGCTCAAAATCTTGTTGCGATTAATACTTACAATATCTGTCACCTAAAAATAGTACTGAGTGAAGCATTAGTGTTGAAGGGGGCACACATTGAGTTAGTTCTGTCATCAGATGTTATTGAGTATGCTTTTACTGATCTTGCACCACTCATGCCAGACCTCGAGTCATTGTTCCTGAGTGGCTGTACTGAGGTTAGTGAAAACAATATCACTTATTTGAGATACTTTACGTTCTTTATCTTGACTACATTTCCTATGCAGATGATTATATCCAGGAGACCTCCAAGCAATAGATTCCATTGCCTGAAGCAATTGGAGTTAAAATTGCAGGATATATCGACGAAATATGATCTTCTATTTCTTGCTAAGTTTGTTGATGCTGCTCCAGTCCTAGAAGCTCTCGTTTTTCATGTAAGTTACTTCTCTCTAGCACATTTAGCAGCATGAACTTTAGACAGTACTAAAATTAAATAACTGGTTCTCCAAGAAATGGGATAAGCAGCCTCGAGGCCCTTAACTTGATAACTGTTGAACTGTTCTGTTATATTGCAGTTTTAAACAAAATTTTTGAAAAGTAAATGATGCCATCAGTGGAATGCACATTAAGTGTAAATTCCAGTGTTGACACTCTTCGTTGTATATGCCATATTATAGGCATTTTTTAGAACATCACTCTATAACTTACATTTGTCTAGATAATATCTAATGTTAAGCTATATGATGTTGGTATGTTGATCCACTTATGCCCCCCAACCCCCCCCCCCCCCAAAAAAAAAAAAAAAATCTTATGTTCACCTTTGTCCTTCTGCCATAAAATTTTTTATCATGTTTCCTTTCTTGTCACCTCTGCCAACCCCTTCAGTTGAAATCGACATAAATTTGCCCCCAGATGACAGATCCTAACACATCATATTCTCTCCACCTTAGCTGCCATGGCCACAGCCTCTCACCGTTATCACCATGCTCCTTCACCCATTGCTAAACCCTAAACCCCAGACCTGCTGTGATGTGTTGTATAACGAATCTGGCTGCCTCCAACCCTATAATCACCGCCGGTTGTTACAGAACTAGTCAAGAGTGATCGACCGGCAGCATGGTTTCCAGGAACAAGAAAAGATTCCAGAGCTGCTTCAGGAAGCAAGAACCAAATTGGAAGTGAACCATGGGAGCCTGAGGCTCAGAGCCTGAGACGCTCAGTAGCTTGCAAGGCCTTTTATCCCTTCATGTTAACTATGAAAGAGTCACAAGAAATTGGACACGAATATGGGGCATGAATCATATGGCTTCCTCTCCAACATCTTTTCCTTCCCAAATGTTTAAGGGAATAAGTGGACCAACAATCGTTTGGGGGAATAGTGGGATTTATTCTCCTTAACCCTTGTGGTTGTGTGTACAGAAACGTTTGTGGTGTCATTATTTCGAGCCCTGTGTGATCTTCATGTAATACTTATAGTAGAAGCTGAAACAGTGGATAGGTCATGTCTGATTAATTGAGTAATACTCCTTCCGTTCCAAAATATAAGCATTTCTTAGGTTGTTTATTAGCAAATAGTAAGGTTAAGTCAAAAGATTCCTTTTAGTCACCTCAGTGGTCAATTTTTGAATTTTAAATTGCTTAGATTCCCTTTCTAAGCATCCAATTGACTTTGGAATCATTGGAACCATGGGAATCAGCACAGCAATGCTTATATTGTGGTACAGAATTTGAATCCTGGAAACTCTTGTATTTTGGAATGGGTGGTATATTGTGGTACATAATCTGAATCCTGGAAATTCTTACATTTTGAAATGGGAAGGAGTAAGAAATTAAGAATTCGAACAATGTACAATTGTTGCAATGTGATACCAAAACCACAGCCGTGCTACACAACTTTTCAGTTCATAGCAGTATGAAATTGTGGACTGCTGTAGCTTTTTTAGGCCATTTGTGTATTCTGAATGTGCTAATGTTCAAATTTCAAGTCCAACTTGGTTTATGAGCACATACTTTTAAACTTTGGTGTCTGGTTTGAGACTCATAATTTTCCTAAGCAATTCATCTTTGTTGAAACTTTATGTAGCTGGAAGATATAGAGGAGCCATTTTGTTACATGGAAAAGGAAGCAGAGTTGAGAAGTCTGGAGAAACATTGTCCACATAAAAACCTCAAGTTGGTCAAAATGACTGGATTTTCAGCAGGCCGTTCAAGCCTTGAGCTTGCTCTGTATTTCGTGGAGAACTCACCAGCACTAGAACTCCTGATTCTTGATCATCGGCTTGACAGATCTGTTTGCCGAATCACTTTTGGTGGTGACTTGGATGCGAAATGCTCGAAAGGATATGAACACACTATCTCCAAATATGTTAGCAATGCGATTCCTCGCCGTGTTAGATTATCATATTCCTAATGTAGCACAAACAAGTTGCACGTGGTGCGAGTTGCAGTGCTAGGACTGCTACAGTAGAAATTAAAATTGCAACGACAGCTGTATAAATTGTAAGATGTTTTGGTCTCTCAATCTATGATGTGATCAGGTAATTAAATGACACATGAGTGCAGTAAAAGTGCAAGTATATAGTAGATCAATGGCAATGGGCAATGAGATGTACTACCTCCATTTTTTTAATAGATGACGCCGTTGACTTTTTCTCACATGTTTGACCATTCGTCTTATTCAAAAAATTTACGTAATTATAATTTATTTTGTTATGAGTTGTTTTATCACTCATAGTACTTTAAGTGTGATTTATATCTTATATATTTGCATAAAATTTTTAAATAAGACGAATGATTAAACGTGTGAGAAAAAGTCAACGGCGTCATCTATTAAAAAACGGAGTATTAATCTTCTGCCTCCTCCTGGGAAGGTGGGTGAAGCCGACGCTGGTTGAGAAGGTCGTCCACGAGCTCCTCCGGCAGGTGGACGCCGTCGACGAACGCTGGACCTTCAAGCTGGCGGTTGATGGATGGGATCCAGAAGTCCTCGACTAGCTGCTTGAGGGCGGCGAGGTCGCGGCGCCCTTGGAGGAACCCAGCGCGGCAGAGACGGCGAGCCTCGTCGGCGTCGTCGAGCAGCGTCAGGCGAAGTGTTGCCGCGTCCGCCCCATCCGCGATGCTCAGTAGCCGACGCACCCTGCCTTGTACGTCGTCGGCGGCGTCGTGGCTCTCCAGCGCCACCTCCGGAGCCGACGAGCCGCCGATGAGCATGTCGGCGTAGATGCTGCCCACCAGCTCCCTCAACTTGTTCCTGTCGTCGCAGAGCACGTCGTATCTCTCCAACAGCTGTGAAAACTTGTCGAGCCCGAGAACACACCATCCCAGTGCGTCTCGCCGGGCAACCAATCCATCAAACAGTTTGCGTGCGTCCTGGAGTGGATTGGATCCGGTCACCACGACGATCACGGAAGTCCCCGGATGTGCCGCCGCCTGAGCTGCTAGCTCGAATGCCCCCTGGCGAGTGGAGATGTAGTTTACGATACGGGGGTGGGGCGGAAGAAAGGCCGGCGGCGGCGGCGGCGACGGCGCAGCGGCCATGGGAGCGAGGGAAAGTGGCAGAAAACGGATCGATCGAATGCTGCGTGAGCTGGAAGAGAGGCCCGCCTGTCTGCTACTATTCGATGGGCCGGGCCCAACAAGGAAGGTTATATAGGACCAGCCCAGGCGAGGTTGGGTCTCCTGCCTCGTGTTTGCATCGCAATTGCTTTTGTTATTTTTCCCCCCTGCTTTATATCTAATGATGTATTCGACAAATTCCTATCAATGAGAAATTTGCTGTATATGCCATGTTGCATTCAACGTCTATATATGCGATTAAATATTCGAAATGTCGCAGCTGATATTTTACACGGATACACGATACGTTGTATTTTCAGAAACATGCATGCATACGGGGATATGACTATATATTCAATAATAAATACAAATTTTAAAATAATATAAAAGAAAGAATAAAATGCTATGTTTTTAAATATAAAGAGCTGGCTATTCAATTTTTATCAATAGGAAAATAACCCTGTGTGTAAGAAAACATATTATCTTCATAGAAAATATAACTATAAAGTGTATTAGTCCCCCCGGGCTGATAATATTAGTCGTTTTGGATAAGGATAAAGTCAAACTTTAAAATCTTTGACTACAAATAATTTCTAAAATATTTATCTTAAAAATATGAAAACCACATGTGTAGATTAGTCTTAAAAAGTACTTCAATAAAATCATATATTTGTTGAAATTTATATATATTTTGTAATAAAAAATAGTTGTCAAAGTTACATTTTGAAGACCGTGCCCTTGTCCAAAACGACAAGTATTATTAACTCGGAGGGATTAATTTTTCTACGATCTTTAATATTTTTTCACATCACAGTACTGTTAACGACCAAATTTGGTAAATTTGCATTGGATTTGGAGTTAAAGCTGAAGCGGATTTGGGAGGAAATCGATAACAGAAACAGAGTATGAATCGGCTTCAGAACCGCATCGGCTATAGTGTGCATCGGCAGTTACCGAATCGAACAAGGTAAGCCGATGTAGCCGATTCCGGCAAGGTGATATTGGAATCATTGTCTGATTGAGTTGACGTGCTTCATGATGATTGCCATGTACGGATCAAGTCCGAAGAAGGCAGTTGTATCTATTAATTATGAATAGTTTGTTAGTTTCCTTTTTATTTTTAGAAAAGTGTGTTCAGTGTCCTATAAAGACTTTATGTTTTCCTTTTATCTTTAGGAAAGTTTCTTTCTTATCCTACAAGGACTAGTATCTACCATGGGTATAAATATGTACACCCGGGATCATTGTAAACTATCTTCACGATCAATACAATTCGGCGCATCGCCACCTTTTACCTTTTCTACTTTATTTTATCGTCCGGCAGGACTTGGCACCTGACGTGGGGCTGCATCGGTGTTCGATCTCCGGCTAAGGGGTAAGTCCAATGTTCTGTCAGCCCAGGCAATTGTATCGTTTATGTCGGCGTCGTTCAAGGCTGCATCAGTACATTCGACCTCTTGGATTGCTCTGGTTTAGATGATATATTTGCCTACCTATTTATCATATGTCTATGTTAATCTAGTCTTAGCATATCAATTTAGCTCTATCGGCTGCTTCTTGTTTTAGGGTTTCTGCCGGTATCGGCTAAATCGCGTTGCTAGATTAGATTAGCTTAGACATCTACCACCCTGAAAACTCAATCAACGGCTTGATTGTCTAGATATTATGCTTCTTTTCATACTTAGTGCTGCATCAGTTAAGTTTGATCTACTAAGTCGTGCTTAGAACCATAATCTCTAGTCTGCTTCTTGATTGCCAATAAGGGTTTCATCGGGGTTTCAGCCGGTGAGTTATCTAGACGTTGCATCGGCTCATAAGAATTGCATATACATATAAGTTGGATTTAGCCGATGACAACAAAGGTTTTACTGTTTAATCTAATCTTGTGGATTTCATGGCAGCGGACCTTTAGCCGATGTATGCTTTAACCTCCAGATCAGTGCTTATTCTATCATATCAATGTTAGCCGATTGGTTTATACTGGACTATATTATTGTTATATTTTATTATCAGTAGTCGATTGCCTATATATCATTATTTACTAAAGTGTTAGAATCTACATTGGACGTATAGCCGATTGCTCAAAACCCTATCATTATCGGCTGGTATCGGCATCAGCTATCGGCTGGAACTACTCCATCGGCTGTTTTGTCTATTATTTGCATATCTTGTCAGTTGCAGGATCAAACTGACTGGCATACCCGCATCCAACCAATCTTTGGACCTGCACAGGAGTTAAGCAGATCTCCCAGGCCGGTGTGTTCGATTTTTTCGTCAACAAGTACTTAATTGGTTTATGTTTTTATGAACTTCGAATATATATCTCTACTATTATAAAAAGTGAAGATGTTTTTGTCCAACTTATTCCGTACGTCCAATTATGAGTTATGCATTCTATCAAGCATATTATGTGCGTACGATTTTAGAGTTATCTCACCCATCGGCGGGCAGTCCAATTCGAATCTGCATAACTCAGACCAGAACCAAAACCTGATTAGAGCAAAATAATATACATGAATTTCTCCATGTGCCCACATACGTAGAGTCGATGACCAGGGACTCGGATCGGTGGTCCGGTTGCCATTACTGGAAGAAAGCATCGTGGTGTGTGGGGGAATAAAAGGCATACCAGTTCTCAATACTTCTCATCTCTTCATGTGCCTTCCTCCGTTTCAGAATCTGAAACATTTGTCACGGCGCCTCCTCCGCTTGCGAAAAAACAAAGAAATCAATGTAGTGGTCGCCTTGCATCTTTGTGCCTAATGATGGGCCAACGGGAGAAAAGAAATGGGCCATGGCTTGGCCCAACCACGCAATAAGTGAGCGCACGCCTGGGATTGACGGCCGATGGAACCATATTACACGGCTGGAATTATCTCTTGGATGATATCTAACGGCTGCATTCCCTCGATGACGTGGCTTATTCCTGTAGCTGCTTTATAGCAATAATGATAGGTAGTGGGTACCAATTACTCCCTCCATTCCAAATTGATCTACATATAGTTTTTTTGAGGTTATTTCTAAATGATCTTACATATTTGTGTTCATTCATTAGGTCTATTTGTTATTTGTGTATTGGAGTAAATGGACATTGATGCATGCATCCATGCACACAAGCATTTATAACCCACATGCAATATCTTGATTTGCTATTGGCTAGGAAATAGTGGGGATGGTGCATGTATTGAGTTTGTTGCTAGAGTAAATATAGCATGAGAGAGTTATTAGCTTTTCTGGGTCTTGATGTACCTTTGAAATATGTAGATCAATTTGGAATGGAGGGAGTATATAGGAAGAAAATATATGATTACCCCATAAGCCTTGTTCGGTTTGAAGGAGATTAAGGGGAAATAATTTCACACCACAAAAATGGTGATTAACTGAACATATCCCAAGTTAATGCAGTCCCCAACCTTTTCTTTTCCTATTCGAATTTCTCATTCTAGGAGTGGTCCTAAGATGGAGGGTAGATGCCATAGGATGGAGTTCGTTGTTGGTGCCTCGCACCATGGCCATCGTCGTCCTCCTTCAAGTACCGCAATGGGGAGGTCTAGTTCCATCGATGGAGCACACACGTCGCTGGTGCCTCGGTCCTTAGTCGTTGCCGCCATCCTTCAAGCACCTAGCGAGGAGCTTCAGATCTAGAGATAGGGCCCATCGACGATGCCTCGCTCCACGGTCACAGCTGTAGTCCTTCAAGCACCACAACGAGGAGCTCCAAATCCAGGGATGGAGCCCGTCGTTGGTGCCTCGCTCCATGGCCATCATCCTCGTCCTCCAAGCACCGCAACAGGGAGACTCAGTTCCAAGGACAGAGCCTGTCGCTGGTGCCTCGGTCATTGGCCGTTGCCGCCATCCTTCGAGCACCTAGAGAGGAGCTCTCGATCTAGGGACATGGGTGCCTCGCTCCATGGCTAGCGCAATCCTTCGAGCACCACAACAGGGAACTCCAAATTTAGGGACGGAGCTCGTCGTTGGCGCCTCGCTACATGGCTCCTGTTGTTGTTCTCCGAGCACTAAGTGGGTAGCTTCAACTCTAGGCGAGTTGGACATCACCAACCTCTTGCCATCGACTAGTTAGCGGTGATGTCCTCCTCCCCTAGGCTCTTCTCCACGCTCCCTCAACATTGACGGCAACGTCATGCCCCTTGATGTCACTGCAGTTGCTTTCCCGGCCTCACCATCTGATGCCCGGCGCTAGGGAGGTGGCGGTGCACAACACGAGTGTCGACGTTTGATGTCGCGATTCTGGTATTTGCATCGTATAGGGATCGTTGGTACTAGGATATACGCGAGACTGAGGTAAAAGAGACAGAGACGAGGATTTTTATACAGGTTCGGGCCCCTGAATTGTCAGGTAATAACCCTACATCCTGTTGGCTGAAGCCATTGTTGCTCTTATTCACCATAATCACACCAATACAATATTTGGGGTAGCCTATCTAACTATTGTCGACATGGCGGTCTGAAGGTCTGACTCGTAGTCGACAACAGGGTAGTTTTCCTCCTCGAATCCGTGCCCGGCAAGATCAGAGATAGCGCTTTCGTCTCTCCTAACAGTATCCGGAGACACCGTAGGGGACTAGCCGTGCCTATCCCTGAAGTCAATATCCGGCGTCTTGTATTGGCGTATGTTGGCTTGTATGTTGTGGCTTCTGTTGTTCCGTAGATTATGGTTGGTGTTGATTGTCCGTATCCCCTCTCCTCCTAGGGGGGCCTTGTATTTATACCTATAGGTGTCCCCTTGTCTAAGTAGAACTAGGAAAACAATATGGATACAATCCGAGTAGTCCTTGTCGTTTCCATGTAGAACTCTGGTTGTCTTTCCTTATCCGGAACTCTTCCTATATCCGTAGGTTGTTTCCGTATAGAACATGGTATGTGGTAGGTCCTGCCGAGATTTAGTCAACTACTATTAGGTATGTGGTATCCATAACCCTGACAACAAGTACATCGGGGAGCTTCTTCCTCTTGTTCTTGGGCTAGGGGAAATCTTATCTTCTCCCCACTGATTCCACGTTGTAACAGTGATGTGGCACGCGCAAGGCTGAAAAAGGGCACAAGAGCAAGACAAATTCTCTCTAGTGGCATTTAAAAATAGGATGTCATAAAGTTTCAAAAAGAACCCAAAATCCATCAACTCCTCAACCAAATTCTAATTTGAATGCATATCTAAAGGAGAGACGCGAGGGTTATTTTGAGAAAGCACACGAAGACGCCCATCATCAATTTGGCGAAGCCCGCCGAAACAGATGTCAAAAAGCTTTAAAAAAAAAAAAAACTCCACCGCATCCACATCCAAACGAAATAGGGGCGGGAGACGGCGCGCCTCCATTCATCGCTCGCCAGAGTTGCCCACCCCCTCTCGTCTGCTCCTTGCCCTTGCCATTCGAGGGCGATCGGTGCTCCCTCCGCCTCCGGACCGCCGCCGCCGCCGCCGGAGCCCTCTCCGGGGCGTCCCTGAGGTCAGATTCCACCCTGTTTCGGTTCAATTTGGTGGGTGCGCGGGCTCGATCGAGGCTTTTTTTTCTCCGGTATGTGAGTAGGGTTTGGTTCGAATTTTCCCCCATTATGTTTGGGTTCGGATTGGCGGGTGGGCGGGCAGCACGCGGTGAGGATAGATAGCTTCAGATTTGTGGATGGCTCATCCGCTCATGGCTAGCTGGCGACGCCGCGTCGGTGGGGACGCCACCGGCCAGGGGCCAGGGGATCAGGGGATGGTGGCGCAAGCACGGCCATGAGATTCATGAACTGCGCGAGGACCCTCCCCTCTGGATTTTTTTTTTGCCAACCCTGATGACATTGGTGCTTTGATCCTTCACATCTCGTACAAACATTTTCAGATGTTTATTAGTTGTTCATAGTTCCTCCCATTTAGTTGGCAGCCAATTGCCGAACTGACTGCATAATACAACTCTTATGTACTCTTGGTCGATGTTACTACAGTTTGTACTATCAACAATAATGTTAAACACACCAGGGAACATGTTCTAGAAGGATCCACCAGAGTATGCCTGCATGATATCTCTAGGTCCACTTTGTTTTATTGGAAAGAAATTAGTGTCAAGATTGCACAATTTACTAACTGCAATGGGTTCATAGGCTGCACACCATGAATATATACGTCATCCCTGTTTTTCCGTGCACCAAGCAAGTTAATAAAATGTGTTGAGCTAGCTCTGATGTATTGTATTGTGTCTAATTAGTTATGTAGTAACTAGTTGCTGGTCCATATCTATTTGTTTTTTTCCCATTGCTTACTAGCCCCAACATTTGGTGCTTGATGGACATTCAAGATAGCTCTTGAATTAGGATTCCTGGCTCCTTGGTTTATATTTTTCTCCAAATCCTCTGAATAATGTGCTGAAATCTATCACTTGATCCTCCCAGAAAGTGGCCTGCTAGGTACTTGATACTTCTCACCATCCTTGGATTCCTACTTGAAGAGTACTATTGATTTGCTGCCTTTAACTACTTAGATAGTGCCTTGAACGAATCATTTATCATTGTGACATTGTAGCCCTGGCATAACTCTGTGGCACTCTGCTCAGTTTACATGCATTACATGTTCATTGATTGCATACAATGCCATTCTGTAGTAACAGTGTGTTTAATTCTCCTAGATTATGAGAGCTAACTGAATTTAATTTGATCTGCAGATTGTGTGCGCCAATGGCGCCTCACCACATTAATGGCCTTGCTGACGTTCGTGCAGTTGCGGAAATGTCACCTACACTTCCTACCATGATTATTAGAGTACCTTGTGAGCAGTCAGCCAATATTCACAGGCTACTGGAATTTGTTGAGGATCGTCTGGATCACGGTGCTCACGACTTGATTAAGGCAGAGGACATTCCCCGACTTCGAGCTATCGCCCAGGGAAACCTTACAAGTGCTGATGCTCCCCAGTTTTGTTTGTCATTGCTCAACGAGTCCCAGATCTACCTGCGGGTTCAACTGTTCTCGTCGAAGTGGATGATTGGGTGCGGCCACCCATCGACTCACGGGTAGTATCGGCAGTGGCTAGTGCGTTTCATCTTCCCCAGGATGGGGTGCTGCCTTTTGATCTCAACTCAACGACAGTGGCCCCAGATGGTCCAGGTGCAGGTCGTATTCATGCTGAACTTCTGATGCCACCAGGCAGCTTGCCTTTACCGCCTCCTGTTGTTGTCACAGTGTCAGGGTGTGAACCACTGAATGATGCGCGGGAACTTTATCAGTACCTGGAGGAGTACGTGAATCAAGAGGGCTGGATAGTTGATGACACACAGCTTGCGGGGCTTGCAGAGCTGGCTGAAGCTAGGGACGAGTTGGTAGGAGCTCGCGATAAGCTCACTACACTTGCATCAGATATTGGAGATGATCTTTTATTGGGAGGAGCGGTCACTGATGATGTACCGTTGTTATCTGGGGACTTCAAAGCAGCTTTGGCCAGGGTATTGAAGCTTCCTGAAGGTATGGAGCTTCCCAAGGACTTTGAATCACCTCTTCTTGTCCCTGCCATTGCTGGGAGGGAGAGAATTCATGGTGAACTCATCAATCTCCGAGCTGACCTGGCTGCTTTGAAGCAGCATGTTGAGGAGCAGTGGCTCCCATGGGCTAATGATCGTCTATCATCCGCTGGAGTCATCGGAGACCAGATTCTACTAGACATGGAGTGACACGGGCTAATAATGTTCGTCTCACATCTCTGATACATTCTACAAGACATGGACTGAGTCAGATTCTACAAGACATGGAGTGACACGGGCTAATAATGCTCGTCTCACCTCTCTGATACATTCTACAAGACTTGGACTGAGTCGTTCCGTATAGGCCACACAAGAAGTGAGAAAGACGATGTACATTTCCTGCTGATTTCTAAGGATCAAACCATAGCTGTTATAGGAGATCTCCCAGAACTGAAACCTCAATTGCTATTACATAGTTCTATACTTGCAGAATGATTACGATGGATGCCCTTCCAAAATTTATGTGGCAATAGAAGATGCTTTTTAGTGGTTAGACCGAAAATTAATAATGTTCAGTGCGCAGAACATTCTCACCAGTCCTCATACAGACAATGCATGGTCATACGCAGGTGGCACTATTTCTCATTACTTGTACAACAATTGACAATGAGGTTGATATCAATCATCACGTTACATGTATAAGTGACCCTAAGGGCTTCTTTTGTTGCTTACCATCCATCTGAGAACAACACTGTGCAAACACTTGCCTAATTGCCAAAGCTGAATGAAGGGATATTAGCAGAATTTATTTACACACTGAAAAAGAAGTAGCATTTTACATAGCCTTCGCTCCTAATGAATCGGCTGGGGAATGAAATGATACACCCCATTAGTTAATTCTAGACAATCAGCCGCCTTTTACACTGCTACAGCCTATTACAACACTAGCACAACATTTACAGTCGAGAAGCACTTTGCTTCACCCACTTATTCAGAAGAACCAAAGAAACAATCTGTGGGATTATGAGCTCTATACAGATGGATGGACCCATTTATTTGGATCAAGAGTCCGTTTTGCTCTTCTTTGAGAGGGGGCTAAATGCAGCAGCAGGATCCGAAGAGGCAGAACCACCATTGGGTTGGCCCAGACTACCAGCCACCACCGAGTCACTCACCATGTCGAAGTTTATTCGTGTGTTGATTCTCCTGGTAGGGCTGCATATTTGGCAAGAAACAGAGTGAATTCTGAGTGTTGTGAGCTTCACTTCTTGTGTGTGTGTGTGTGTGTGAGAGAGAGAGAGAGACTATGTATTTCAGAGGAAGTTGACATACTAATTTAGGCGGCTATTTATAGCAGCCAGATCCTTGGATGGGCTCTGAAAAGCTTGAGTGCTTTCACCGATGCACGCGTAGAAACTCCGTGAACTTGGTGAAAGCAATGCATCCATCTGTAATTGATACAGAGAATCATGCGTTAAAAAGATCATGCACAGGCCCAACCAAAAAAGACACATCGGCATGAAATATAGTCCGCTCAAGAATTTAACTATAACTGAGTAAAGAGAAAATTGACAAACTAAAACGATCAAAGTATAGAAATGAGAAGAGAAGTGCACACCTTAGTTTGTCGTAGAGGAGAGACATACACATTATGAGAAGATGAGACTTTCTTCGGGGACATATCTGGTAAATTTGAGAAAGGAGATGACTTGGGTGATCCAGGAATTTGGCCTAAGAAAGCAGGTAATAGACATAAGTCAATTATAAGAGGAATTAAGTGGAGAATTAGCAGGTTTAAACTGAGAAAACAGAATGGAGGATATACTATTAGTGTTCCTCTTGTCTTCAGGACGAGTACTAGAAGGCATTAGAGCCACCAGCAAAGGTTTGACCGTGGGAACAAATACTTGATTATAAAAAACAATGATATCAACATGACGTGATCCAAATCCCTGTTAATATCAAAGAATTTTCAAAAGAAAAGAAAAACAAAGTAAAAATAAGAAGCTAGGGGAAGAACTATCAGAAGAAAGAAAAATGGCAGATACTGGAATTAAAAGATACATACACCATTGCGATTTGTACTCCCAACAAAGATACTTCTGAAAACTTCTGGTTTACATTGTGGCTCCCTCTTATAATTGTTGACGATCTCCTTGAACGTCAATGATAATTGAGAAACCTGGCAGAAAAAGCATGGTCAACACAAATAAAAAGGAAGAAAAAAAAATAAGAGGCTCAATATATGTAATACAAACAAACTTCCATAAATTCGAACAGACTTTTCACAAAACTAAATAACCTTTTAGTAGGTGTCCTCAGATTGTTTCAGAGGGCAGGTTAATTATAGAAACATGAGTTTAATTAATTGATTTATTAGTGAACAGTAAAAATATTATTGAGATAAACAAATATATTTATCTTGAGACAACAATGATTAAAATGCCTGAAATAAAGTCTGGCTCTTATTTTATATTTCATACCATTTCGTAATTATGAGAAACTACAGGACCTAGGGCCAGAAAAAGTAGGCATATCCCTCAATCAACACAGAAGTTCAGTTCCAATCAAAACTCAAGGAGATGTGATGTAGTACCTTGGCAACACCATAGAGGCAGCAAAGAATGATTTGGTCAACGTGTCTGTTGAAAAATAAAGCTGTCTGTTGGTCAAGAATCTGCTTAAAGATATTATAGACGCTCACAGTCAGCTCTTCATGTCGTAGCCTTTCACATAGGTTTCTTATTCTAATAGCAGCCAACTTCAAGATCTGCAAAGTTTTAGGCCAGAACTAAATATTCGATAAACATAGAAACAATGAAAAACCATAAATTTAATTACAAGATGGACCATACTTTGGAAAAGAAGATCTGGACCCCTACTACAGCACATTTTTCATTCCCACTAACAGGATTACTGACAGTGGGGCTGCAAAAGATATGAGATAGTAAAACAATTTCTTCAGAAATCATCAATCTCTGGTTAGCAAAAAAATAGTATATGCTCAAACTCTTCACAAACTGAAGTAGGTGATCACACCTTGCGAATGTTGCCTGGAGAGGATGGTATTTTGCTTTCAAAATACTTAACCCTGTTTGGCTTTGCTTTGGGGGTGGTGTCTGCGAATTGCGCTCTACCAATGAGTTCCTAGATTCGGTGCATAATCTCTTTGGTGATTGAGGATAACAGTTGCCATCTACAAAAAACCATTTGAGAAATGAATAACCGAACAATGCAACAAGCAATTAAAGAAGTTTTAATTTATGAACTTCCTGTTTAAATAATGTGTGATCATATTTCATATGGTTATCAAATTTGTTAGTCCATAAATAAACACTTAAATGCTCCATACTGCCTCAAGCATTCCTTGTGCATGACAATAAGGCGTCAATTCTACTTTCAATGCAAACCGACAACAGTTGATATGAAACAAAATAGGATACATGCTGCTGCAAAACTGAGCTCGTGGTATCCCCAGTTCAAGAGTAATAGATGCATGACTATGTTCAAGGACCAAAGTCCATACTAAGCTAGACTGTACAGTTCAGCTCATAAGTCTAGAGGAGCCAGAGGTTTCCTTGGTAAATGGCACTTTTTGTTACATTATAGGGACTTTTAAAATTTTTAGTGGCAATACCTTTTCATCACAGTCCTTTCTGCCACCTATATATAGGCTACAATGCAGAATTGCACATACTATTACACTAACCTAAAACTAATGGACATGATACTAATAGTTACTATGAACTCATGAAACCTTGTGGTGACAAAAATGGTGGTGATGACAATTATGATTACCAATATACAAGTAGGACTAAAAGTCTACACCTAACCAATGTTAAGGTAAGTAACAGAAAATATTTTGCAATCCGATTGATAAGAGAAAATGTAATAGCAATGCACTGTGCAACCAAACTGATAAAACATCTGCTACCTAGCCTAAGACAAGATGTGCAATCAGTTGATATTTGATAATATAATGTTCAAAGCAACGTTCAACCAGCTTACCAGAAGGTGATCAAATCTATCCATACCAAGTACCTTCCCAATAAGAACAGTAGTTTTGGAAATGAGAGTAGTTGATTACAAAAACATTAAATTTAAGAATGATTGAGAAAGCACCTGGGCCAGCAGAAGGCCATCTTTTTGAGGGAGTAGGTGGCAAGCCATCAGGGTGAATACTCTGCCGTGCTACTATGCCATCAAGAGATGGCATTGGTTCAGCCAAAAGACCAAGGCTGTTTATTTCTGTAGAAAGTGATGGCCTGGCAACAACCAGTGAATTATATAACGATGAACCTTTCTCCCATGACATGCTTTCCAATAGCTGTTCTTCTAATGAATTTAAATGCCTTTTCAATTCTCTTGGAAGGGTTTCTTCATGTCTCACAAAGTTCTCAATTATTTTGCTCAAATCAAATGCAGTTAAACCAGTACTCTCCAGGACAGCAGGAAACATCATGATGACTGTCTTATGTGTTGCCAATACTAGCTCAGCTGAACATGCAATCAAGCATCGATGAAAACGTTCATTTGACAACAATGGGGTTAAATTATTTACATTATTGTTCTGTGACTCTGCTCTGCAGATTGCCTCCAGCACCCTATAATACAACTTGGAAGCCTCCATTTTTCTTGCTTCTGCCCATGGAATATCAAATGCGTTTGCACAATTGAGGCCTATGGAAGTACCCCGATCTATAGACTTGGTTGGAAAAATAGCTTCCAAAATTATGCTGACCCTTTTTACTACATCACTTGTCAAATCCGTATCGCAGGACGAAAGGAACTCTTCAAGCTTAGAGGAAGGTTTATCGGGCAATGAAGATATCACATCACGTAGCCACTTAGCAGTTGTCATGGCAGAAGTAACTGGTGTCATCTGCACAATCTTGATTGAGCCCCCATTGGCAGGTGATGAAGGGGAACTAGGGGCAGCCAACATATTCTTTATTGTCTTTGTAGGAGAGGCTAGTGTTTCAAACACACGCTGCAAAAAGAGAAAAGGGAATCTGTAATGTAAAAAAAGAAAACAATGTGTAGTTAACTAAAAAGATTATGAATCATCACAGATACCTTTGAGCAGCCAAAATTAGCGGAACTACCAGAAGAGTTTTCAGCATTGAGTACATAGTCATTGCTGGTCAAAAACATTTCCAAATCAAGCTCCCCTTGGCAGCCGGTGGTACTACTTAGCTTCTCCAGTTTTTCCAAATTTGACTGAAAAATCTCATCATCGACAAGATCTTTGAAATACATCAGGCCATCTACCACCATAACAATGAAACAAGACTTAGATAATTGAATGTAAGACAGAGCATGCATGCAGGAACACATGAGAGAGAACACGGGTGTTTGAGGTCATGCCTGTATCTATTTTATCCAAATTCACTGTTTTGAACTCTGAAGCATTTATTGCTTTCCTGCTAAAAAAGACCTCTATCACTTTGTAAGATTTTCCCATCATTTCTTTCAAGCGGTCTTCAGAGGTATGATAGTTGTGACATAACGATGGAAGAAGATCCACGCCTTTCTCAGTTTGTTTGACTGAAATTAAACAAAAGGACTGTAATTATAATCTGTGCAGATGCCAAATAAAGTAAGACAGTTAAAGAAATAATTTGGAATAAAGTTGAGAAATATTACTTAAGTGAGAAGAACCTTCAATTGTGAAGCTCCTAAATTTAGCAGGTACGTGAATTAAAAGTATGGCCTGTAATGAATCATTTTTTTGACAAGTTAGCTCCAGAAAGCACAAGGGCTAGTGGTGGTTGAAGTAGCCAGTTAACCACAAGTACAAGATTGCATAGCTAAAGGATAAAAATAATGAAACGGAATAAAGAGAAAAGCAAACTCACCAATATGGCAACTAGTCCATGGATGCAGGATACCAGGTCCTTAAACAGTTCGGGTGATTTTGAGCGAAGAATTAAGAAGAGCAGCCACCCAAAACGGATATAATCAGGAATATTTGTAGTTGATCCAGGCTCCTGATCAGTACTTGGGCTCAAGAATAGCTCATTAAATGCTTTGCAATAGAACCTAGGATATTGTGAAATTGTGGGTAAATTTTGCACTACCATATAAAGCAAACAAACAAATCTCAACAATATGAACCTATGTATCAGTTGTAATTTGTGGCAAAATTCTAATAAACTCGTGAGCTTCAAATCCCCATGCAAAAGAACGGTTCTGTTATAAAACTGCAATCAGGTACAAGGCACATATGTTGCTTACCGGCTTGCATCTGCCAATAGATTTACTAAATTCTCCAATTGCTTCAGCTGGAATCACAATTGAAACAACAATGAAGAAAACAAACAGGTTATGCACATCTGAAAAAGAAAAATGTGAATCTGTTCAATGCGGGGGCTTGGCGTGAACCCACCTCTAGCCGAGCTTCCCAATCTGACCCATAACGGCTTCCCAAAACCTGGTCGATCCTTGAAGCAAGCCGCTGTGATTCCTTGAAGAAATCATCATACCTGCACACCAAACAAAGGTAAAAAAAAAAAAAAAACAATCCAGTGTCAACAAGGCCCTAAAACTTGCTAGACTACAGTTCAAAAACCATTATAACATAGCATGACCCACTTGAGCTTGCAACCCTTCAAGATCTCCCAGAGCCTAACGCCGGAGGAACCCGCCTTGGTCTCCTTCAGCTTGGAGACGCAGTACAGCACGAACGCGAAGCACAGCTTCTCAGCATCCTCGGGCTGCAAGAATCCAAACTTTAGGGGGGGGGGACAAAAGATAGCCTCAAATTCGCCGCAAAAGACAGAGCAGCCCTCACCGATTTGCTCCCGAACGACGGCGACGCGAGGAGCGCGCCCTTCCCCTCCTCCAGCACCGCCGCGGCCTCGCCGGCGACGCCCTCGTCCACTCCCAGCTCCTGCACCAAAACCCATCGAACCATGAGACCTCAAACGCTCGACGATTCCCACCAGCGGCCAACCAAAGATCTAACCACCACCTCACCTTGCAGAGATCCGCGAGACGAGCCTCCACGGCGGCGGGAGGCTGCGACGCCATGAAAGAGCTACAACACGCACACCCACCCACGCGCACTCAGTGGCATCACACGGAGGGGCCAAGAGGCAGCACGGCGGCGAGGCCCTCCACTGCTCCGGCGAGCTAGGGTTTGGGGGATTTGGGGATCGAGGAGGAGGTGGAGGAAGAGAGAGAAGGAAGAAGGGCAGGAGTGCGAATTTATTTGTCTGGAGGGGGTTTTAGGGAAAACTGCCGTTGTCCGTTGCGCTGTGCAGATCGTTTGATGCTTTCGGTGTTATTATATGTTTTTTTAGGGGGTGAGATGTAAATTTGAGCGCTATTGATTAATTCCCCCTCCGTTAAAGTAGCGGTGGGATTGGGGGGCAACGGCTAAAAGCGCGGGAAAGGAAGTCGGTTTCTTCCCCGTTGCGCGCCATAAGCTGGCCAATGAGGAGACGCCACCTGGAAATAAATTTTGTGTAGTTACAAACTTACAATGCATCCATCACCGTCAGATCTTGATCACGAATATCAACGCCATTGGATCTTATATACGGTGGAACCCATTAGTACATCAGGAGTTCAAAACCACGAAAACCTTATAATAAAATGAGTAAATTTCATATCTATTATGATATGAGCGAACAGATTTGGCACGAGAAACATAATCACAACCATTGTGGTTGAAGTTTTACTAATTCACACCGTTAACTAAATTGATATACTCTTGTTTTGAAATTTTAAAAAGCTTTATATACACGATTAGATATAATATTTATATGATGAATAAATAACTTATAAATTAGATAAAATAATTAATAATGTGGTTTGTGAAACTTTATAGTTATAATAGCTAGGGGTTATGTATCACGTGCCAAAACCCATTAGTTTTGTATATTTGGGGTTATCTAAAATTTACTCTTTTATTAATAATCAATAGGAAGGAGTAAAGAGAACCATTGAATTCCCACTCAAGGGGTGACAAAATTCACTAAAAACTAACCACATAATCGCGTTTTGCGCGACTTTTGATCCTGTTTATTGTATATGGTCTATTAGTTTACCTTAGCTCTTAATAAGGTTTTGATAAAAAGTTAATTTGTTTATGAAGTATCTATTGTTCTAGCCAACTATAAATATAGCTACTAATACCTCCGTTTCAGGTTATAAGACTTTCTAGCATTGCCCACATTCATATAGAGGTTAATGAATCTAGGCACATATATATGTTTAGATTCATTAACATCTAAATAAATGTGAGCAATGCTAGAAAGTCTTACATTGTAAAACTGATGGAGTATATGTTTATAAGAGGAATCACTAGAAGCATCATCTTTCTTCTCTTTATTTCCTTTCTTTTTGTATGTATCATATGTTTAGTAGGAGATGCCAGAAACCTCCAAAAAAAATTCCATATATTTAGCCCATTTATGATTTTTTTTAATACATGCTCTCTTCGATCCAAAGACCATTATTTATCCAAGCTCTTTATCAGACGGCTAACATATTTTTGATGATATAGCACATCCTCGTATAAGAAGGCTTGCTGCTTTCACTATATAAGATAAGATTCAGTCACGTAACATCTAATCCCAATATAATAAAATAATAATGATAAATATTTTAAAAATTAAAATTGAAACATAATATAAGATATGGTCAAACTTGAAATGATCTTCAAAACTAATATTAAGCTTATAATTTCTCGTATGTTATAAGTTTTATAACAAAGAAATTATAATTATATAAAAATAAATTCAAATATCAATTCAATAATGTAACTTTTAGCAAATAAAATTCAATTTATATTATAGTATTTTTTTTGTTAAATAATTTAAAAGTTCAATCCTAAAACACATGTGCGTCTTATATTATAGAATGAAGAAGTATATATATTTTTTAATCGAAAGGAAAAAATATGCATCTCCACGGAGGAATAAATATATCCCGCAACTAATGAAGTGTCTAAACTCTAAACATATGTCACCACCACCACGAAAGTACGAATAAGTCTTCCGAGTAGTAGCAAATATAGTATGTTTCATCTAAGTATTTCATCTAAGCACGATAGAAATTTTTTAAGTATTTTATCAAAATTTGGTAAGAAACTAAACAGTGCACATAATTGGCAACTTTAAAAAAAATGGTATGGTTTAAAATGACATCAATCTGAATAAGTCATAAACGTGACAATAATTTTTTCAAAAAAAAACACAGGGAAAATGTTGTACTCGATCATGGTAAATTTTCTATATACATTCTGAAAATATATACGGCCGTATATACGCTTGTATGCATACGGTCAGACGTACACGTATGTCGTACACGCAAAGTATAAAGTAACCGAATGGCCTGTCCCCTTTCTAGCCGCTTCCAGGCGACGCCGTGGCGCGCCCTCCTGTCGCCACGTGTCTCGCCGGCGCCACCTCGCTCCCGCCCCTTCCAGACGCTTCGCTGCCGCACCCCCAATAAATCGCCGCCGTCTCCGGCCACCTCCTCTCCCTCTCCATCTCAGGCAAGGCAAACCGCTCAACTCTCTCCGCTCCAAACGACTAGCTCGATCACTTGCTAGCTGCCTAGCTCCCACCATGATGGCTTCGCGAGTCTCCTCCCTCCTCCGCGCCGCCGCCGCGGCGGTGTCCGTCCCCGGCCGCTCCCGCTCACTCTCCGCCGCAGCGGCGACGGCGGCGAAGAAGCCGGCGGGGGACTACGTGCCGGTGTACGTGGCGATGGGGATGATCGCGGTGTCGGTGTCGCTGGGCCTGGCGACGGCGAGGCAGCAGCTGGCGCACGCGCCCAACGTGCGGCTCGACAAGAAGAAGCGGGAGACGGTGCCCGAGGTGGCGGCGCCGGACATGGCGCTCGACGAGGCGGAGCGGTTCGTCGGCGGGTCGCTGTTCCGCAAGGTGGCGCACGTGCAGGACGACGCCTCGCTCCGCGCCGGCGTCGCCGCCGACCCCGTCGCCGAGTACCCGGCCAGGAAGGCCGTCACCCTCAAGGACGCCGGCGTCGAGCCCCCCGGCATCGAGCAGGGCAGGGAGGGGATCCTCGAGGTGTTGGGGAAGAAGACCAAGCCCGCCGCCGCTGCTTGAAGCTGAAGCGTGTGATATAATTGCAGTTAATTAGTAGTGGGTTAATCTGGGTTCTCCTTGCTTTAATTAGTTTTATTTGCTTAATTACTGGTTGCTTTGTTTTAGTCTTTCAAACCGGCTGTACTTTTATGAAGTCGATGTGTGTGTTGGGGAACTGCTTGTACATATGTCAATCCAGCTTTGATGAAAAAAAAAATTATCAAATTTTAGCATTTTAAAATTTTGGTATAGTTACTTAAATTTGGTAGGAAACTAAATGGAGTCACTTTTTTACAATTTTATCAAAGTTTGGTAAGGTGGAAAATGGCATCAAAGGCCTTACTTTACTTCCAAAAATAACTACCAAGTTAGCATCTCAAAAAATAATTTCAGAATTTCTGTAGGGAATCCTTTCACTGAAAATCAACGGAAGAAATTTGGAGCCTTTTCACTTTGATGTAAAAATAAACCTTACCAAATTTTGGTATTGCTAAAATTTTGGTAAGATTGGCAATGTTGCTAAATTTTGGCAATATAGCTATTTTGGATGTGTTCACTTTGTTGGCAACATATATGCTACCAAAATTCACTTTGTTGCCAAATTTTGGCAATGTAGCCAAAATTTTGGCGTTTTTACACAATTTTGATAACAAAAATGGTAAGGTTAGAAATGGCATTAAAGCCCTTGTTTTTTTTTAAGAATCCGCTTCGTAATTTGGGCCCAATCCGGTAGTCTACCTCTGTTTGCTAGCCCAACAAGGCCGGCCCAATCGTTAATGCGCCTGGCCCATGAGGAAAGAGTGGGGTCCACATGTCAGCAAGCTTGCCGTGTCCACCCAACGGTCCAAGGCCCGGGAGCAAAATATCTCCTCTCCGACCGTGCACCCGGTCCACGCAAAGCCACCACCAAAATTATCCACTCGCCCGCCGGCTTAAACCCCTCCCCCTTCCACCCTCTCCACCTCTCTCTTCCCGCTAACCCCCCCGGCCTCCGCAACCGCATCCATGGCCGCCGCGGCGGCCGCGCCCATCCCACCCCGCAGCGCTAGCCCGAACCCACTCCTCCTCCGCCCGCCGGTCCTGGTGGTACGGCGGCTGCGGCTCCGCCTCCTCCCGCCCCGCCGCGCGCGCCTCGTCGTGGCCGCGGCCGCGGCCGCCGCCACCACCGCGGCCGCGGCGTCCGTGGCACCCGACGACATCGCGCAGCTCAACCACCGCCTCCGCGCGCTCGTGCGGCGGCGGGACGCGTCGTCGTCGGCGGCCTTGTCCGTGGACCCGGCGCAGGCGGAGGCGTACCTGCGCATGATCCGGGAGCAGCAGCGGATGGGGCTACGTCAGCTGCGCGGGGACGGGGACGGGGCGGCGTCTCAGGAGGGGGAGAGCGACGGGGACGGAGACGAAGGGGGAGGGGGGAGGAGGAAGGGGGTGGTGGCGGCGGGGAGCTCGTTGGGTCACCGGGTGGACCCGCGGGAGCTGGAGGCCGGGGAGTACGTCGTGCACAAGAAGGTCGGCGTCGGCAAGTTCGTCTGCATCAGCGCCGAGGACGGTCTCGACTACGTCTTCATACAGTACGCCGACGCCATGGCCAAGCTCGCCGTCGACCAGGCCGCCCGCATGCTCTACAGATACAACCTGTATGCCTGAGTAGCTAGCTATGCGAATTTTGACATAATAATTGCATTTTGCCAAAATTGATTCCTGCTCTGAATGGCTGCAAGAACTTTCATGTTTTCTGCACGTTCCAGCCTCCATTTAAGGAACAAGAAAAATTCATTACTACTTATATAAACATTGTAAAAATTGCTATTTCCGGACTTGATGTTTGGTATAAATGTTTTATTGTGGGCCTGTCCCTTCAATTCTGGTGGAAAGTAAAAATTCACGTTGACCATTTATCCAGATTGATGTTTCCTGCAGACCTCACGAGAAGCAGAGACCACGGAATTTGAGCAAACTGAACGATCCTTCCACGTGGGAGAAGAGAAGACTGAAAGGGAAGCTTGCTGTTCAGAAAATGGTAGTCAATTTGATGGAGTTGTATTTACAAAGGATGAGGCAGAAAAGGCCTCCTTACCCGAAGCCTGTGGGAATGGATCAGTTTACTGCTGAATTTCCCTATGAGCCCACTCCAGACCAAAACCAGGTCGGCTCTTAATCAAATACTGTTGTTCTTTCTTTTGTTCACCTGGAAATTCTGATGTCGTTTTTTAGAAAGAGAAGCTGCTGCTATTCTTTCCTTGTGCAAGACTTATTGGCAAACTGATGAGTCTAGTTGATTAAGTAATCCATGCACTACTTTACTAATACATAGGATTGAATCAACATCAATGGATTTAATGCAGTTCGTGTTAATGACAGGCTTTTATAGATGTTGACAAAGATCTGACTGAAAGGGAAACCCCAATGGACAGATTGATTTGTGGAGATGTTGGGTTTGGTAAAACTGAAGTTGCAATGCGTGCTATATTCATTGTTATATCTGCTGGATTTCAAGCTATGGTTCTTGCTCCAACTGTAATACTAGCCAAGCAACATTATGATGTAATGTCTGAGCGTTTCTCCAATTATCCTGATATTAAGGTTGCCATGTTTAGTGGTGCTCAGGTATAGCATGGCACAACTCAAAGTTACCCCACCAGGCAATTCATTGTGTTTTTCATTTCCAAGCAATATTTTTTGTATGCCTCAATTGATTAACAACCAAGCATTATTGTGTTAGTAGTAATATTTTTGTGTTACTGTGAAATCATTTTATATTCATTAATTGCTTAACTACAAGGTATTACTGTATTAGTCCTGACCCTAGAAAGTGTGCTGCTCTTATGATCTTATCCCATATTAGGAAAAAAAGTTGATGTGCCTTTTGTTGTTGTTAGAAAAAAAAGGTATATATATTACCGATTGTACAACAATCGGTAATAATACCCTGTTTTCTACCTTTTGATGTTTCACTGAATGTTATTAAGTACTGTTCAAATATATATTTTTAAGGAAGTCCCTTTTGTCTTTCCCGAACCTTTTCTTCTGACATTCAATAAGGGATTCTTGTACTTACTGGTCAGCAATTTTTGTAGTGATAGTGCTCATATGTGGGCATGTAGGTTCTCAGATAGGAAGGCATTAGTATTTCTTTAAATTTTGTCTGTTAAAGTGATGGAATTTGCGTCTCTTATCTTCTGCATGACTTGGGGTACATTTCTGCTTTACAGACCAAAGAAGAAAAAGATGAGCTAATAACAAAGATAAGGAATGGTGATTTGCATATTATTGTTGGAACTCATGCTGTTCTTACAGAACGTATGGCATATAACAATCTTGGTCTCCTAGTGGTGGATGAAGAACAGGTTCTCTTTGTAATTTGTAAATATAAATGTTTACTCTGTTTGATTTTTTTGGGTATAGTTTTCTGTTATTGATAACATCAATGATGGTAATATGGGTAGTATTTTCCAGAAATGAAAAGAACAAGTTAATCATATTAAGGTTTTCTACAAGAAATATATATAGCAAGGGAAAGCCTTTTTGTTGTAGATTATATTCGACAAAAAAAATACTAGATTGTTTTATGTTTACTTTTTGTTATTTTTCTAAAGGTCAGGAATGGTTATCTGAAAACTTAACTCTAGTGTTCCATAAATTTTGACTAAATATCTCGCAACCAAAATCAGCCATGCATTTTATTTTATTTTATATATATTCACAAACTCTATGTTTCAACAGAAGTTTGGTGTCCAACAAAAGGAGAAGATTGCATCATACAAGGCTTCTATTGATGTTCTCACACTGTCTGCAACACCCATTCCACGTACTTTGTATCTCGCGTTGACAGGTTTCCGTGATGCCAGGTAAGATGGCAACAATACTATTTTTTTCTTCTGTTTTCTGTTGGACGAGATATTGGACGAGATATTGCTAATTTATTACTCGTAACCATTGTCCACAATTTATTACGAGATATTGCTAATTTATTACCACTGTTTTCTTGAGATAATTTGTGGACAATGGTTACGAGTAATCACTAGAGTTTTTTTAGGGGATTCACTTGAGCCATTTTATTACATTTGCAATAGTTACTACTGTTTTCTTGAGATAATTCGTGCATTTAATGTGATCATAGCGCTATTCTGCTGACTCTATATTTAATTCATTCTTCATAACTCCAATACCTTGGATGCATTTAATCTCGGAATTGTTTTCATTTTTTTCCATGACACAAGCATATGTATTATGATTTCAGTTTAATGTCTACGCCGCCTCCAGAAAGAGTTGCTGTAAGGACCTACGTGTCAGGATTTAGCAAAGAAAGGGCTCTATCAGCTATTAAGTTTGAGTTGGCACGTGGTGGTCAAGTTTTCTATGTTGTTCCTCGAATAAAAGGTGGAAACTTTGTTATCTTCAGATGACTTATTGTTCACAGCATATACTTGTGATGCATGAACCTGAAAACAATTTTTTTCTCAATATTCCCAATCTCAGTTTAGTACTCAGCAAGTTGGACTTGCGATTGCAGATTGTTCTAACAATTAGCCTATTGCTGGATGCGTTCACTAACAATCTATACTGTCCATATAGAAGCTGCAATATCATGCAAAGTCATTCAATAATTTAGATTGCAAATCTGCATTTATGTTTAATAATTTATTTCATCATGCGACAGCAATAGATGATGTGCTGCAATTTCTCAAGGATTCTCTTCCAGATGTTCCAATGGCTGTTGCTCATGGAAAGGTTTATTGACTAAACTTTCAGATGTGTTTAGTATGCTATTTCACTATTATTTATTGTAGGCTATTTTTATTTGTATACCCTTGATTGTGTTAAAGCCAAAGTCCAACATGTGGATTTCTACCAATGAAACTCTCTTATCATTGTTAGGATTTCCTTGCATGGCTGATTAGTGTTCAAACTAATTTAACAGGAAACTCTATATGGGCCTTGTCGATGACCTTGTTCTTCGATAGTTCGTTTTGATTTTGATTGTCAATGACTATTTATTTTCTGTAAAGCTTACAACCTTCAATTTCAGTCAAGTCTATATCTTAAGTTGCTAGTTATTATATATGGAATAATGTTAGGTTAACAATCAAGATTTATGTTCTATTTGCATAGTCGAATGGTGCTTTTGTCATAATCAAATTTCTTGCCAATTCTTTTTCCCGCAGAAAGTTTCAAAGAACATACAACTTGCTATGGAAAAATTTGCTTGTGGAGAAGTCAAAATTCTGGTCTGCACACACATCATTGAAAGTGGAATAGATATTCCAAATGCCAACACGATGGTAGTTCAGTATGCTGAACTATTTGGGCTTGCACAGCTATATCAGGTGGCTTTGTTTTTCTGATATGCTTTCCTTTTCCTTTATGGCATTTTGTTTTAAACAAAGGCAAAAGGCTCTTATTTCATTGATAAGAGAGTGATAAAACAACAACAACAATCCAAGAAGGGGTACAGCAAAACACCTGTCCAGCAAACAAACTAGAAGCACCTCATTATGGCATAGTTATTTAGCATTTATATTTGATAATATGTGAGCACATAAATTTGATTGATTGTTGAACTATGCCCATTGGCAAATAGTTTTTGAGCATCTTACTGGAGTTTTCTCATTTATAAATACAAAATAAGCTACGAAGAACTGAAAAAGTATGAGCTGTCCTGTGCCTCTGTTTAGCCTTCTGTGAGACTGTTATCGTACTTAAAAGTAATATGTGCCCTAGTTATCCGTGTTGTTTCTAATGCATCTTCCTAATTTTACAAGTTCACCCCTTTGTTTTTCCTTCACAGTTGCGAGGTAGAGTAGGAAGATCCGGCACAGAAGGTTTCGCATACCTCTTCTACACTGATAAGTCTTTGCTCTCAAAGATTGCAACGGTTAGCTCTACCATAGTGCCCCTAATTTTATTATTTATATTCATTTTCTTGTCACAGCATCCAAATCATCTGATGACTGTTACTGAAAGCATATTTGCAATAATACTAAATATGGAAGCCCAGTCAGAAATATAACCTAAATTTCCTTTAATGATAGTTTGTTGTACATAAGATCAGTTAACCAGTCTTGGTGGCACCTAATAAGCAGTATTTCTATTATTGGCACTTTGGAATGTATGTTATGCTTACTAGGTTTCAGTGTATTGATGCTTCCTGAGCCCTCAGTCCTGACCACCACTTGTATGACTAGCCTTATGCCATGGCAAAATGAAGTGAACTAAATTGTAGCTTTTACTACTTCCACAGCACCTGATGTTTGATTTTCTGATACATTTCTATAGGGCATCTTACAGAAAAAATAAGGGGTCTTTTGTATGACAATAAGGCAATTATCCCTTGAAATATCTTTTGTTAAATGAGTTCAGAATCTGTATTGTGTTGTGTCATTCTTCATCTGTAGTTCAATATCTCCATCTGCAGGATAGACTTGGAGCTATTGAGGAGCATTCAGATCTTGGTCAAGGTTTCCATGTTGCAGAGAAGGATATGGGTATCAGGGGGTTCGGAAGCTTGTTTGGTGAGCAACAATCTGGAGATGTTGCAAATGTTGGCATTGATCTATTCTTTGATATGCTTTTTGATAGCTTGTCAAAGGTATACACATCAATCACGCATATCTGCTCATGATATTATTTTTCTTTTATTCAACTATTCACTTCCTTTTTTTGGTTCTGCACCTGTTATTCTTATATCCTTTATTTTGTATCATACATATCTTTTACTCCCTCCATCCTATAATATAGCAACCTAGTACCGGACAAGACACTTCATAGTACAACGAATCCGGACATGCTTCCTGTCTAAATTCGTTGTACTATGAAGTGTCACATCCGGTCCTAGGTTGCTATATTATGGGACGGAGGGAGTATTCATCTATTCACTACTTTGTTGCTGCCTTTAAGATGGCTAGTTCTTGGTAAAGAAAAGAACTCTGTTTTGAACAATTTTTTCTTGTTTGCCACTTGAAGTAGTGATTATTGTTATGTAATCCCCTTCTAGACCCAGTTTTTTTACTGCCTCATTTGTTTTATTTGAGAATGCTTCTCATTCATGGCATGCATATTGTTATCATCTTTGTTTCATGCGAAGATATTTTATAGGCAATTTCAGGTAGTCCTTACCCATTTGGTCCACATACTACTATTTCAATATTCCAACTATTTGGTACAATCATACAGTTCTTCTGTTTTTAATTTTGTACATCCTTTAATGAGCCAAATAACCTTCTGAATTGTTGCATGGCGTTATTAATTATTTACTGTGATCATTCTGACAAGACTATTTTCTATCTTTTTAGGTTGATCAGTTTTGTCTTATTCCCGTCCCTTACAAAGATGTTCAGGTGGGCACAAAATTTATTGTCTTTGCTGCTGTAGCTTTTTCATGCAATGACGAATAATTTCATCTGGGTAACCTGCCCTTTTGATTTCATTCACAAACTTTGTGTCTTTGGACAGCTGGATATAAACATTTCTTCACGTCTCTCCTCTGAATACATAAGTTACCTTGAAAATCCGGTGGAATTGCTTAACGAAGCTGCAAAAGCTGCAGAGAAAGACCTATGGACCTTAATACAATTCACAGAAGATCTTCGTCGACAATATGGAAAGGAGCCTCGTGATATGGAGGTTTGCTGTTTCTGAGATTTTCATCATGCCAATGTGACCATAGTTGGTGATGGTGAAGTTTGATTACTTCGTTATGTCTTCCTTTCTCCTCCTTGCAGTTGCTATTGAAAAAGCTCTATGTAAGACGGATGGCAGCAGATCTTGGTATCAGTAGGATATATTCATCTGGCAAAATGATCATCATGAAAACAAACATGAACAAGAAGGTATTTCGGCTCATGAGAGAAGCAATGTCTTTGGAGACTCATCGAAATTCCTTATCATTCACTGGAAAGGAAATTAAGGTAAATATCAGAGTATCCCCATAGTTTCCTGGTGAAAACAAAATTGTTAAAAGATATTTTGCAAATATTTTCCAAAAGCCTGATTAGATGGCAAAGCAATTTGCTGCTTAATTAGTGATCTTGAAGCTAACTATAGATTTGTCTACCATCACGTCCTTTTTTATCCACCGATAATAACTAACATCCTTATTACTACATGTAGTACTGTTTTTCATTGTTGAAATGCATCACAAAGATCACATTGGACATGTTATTTTTAGGATATACAAGCATGAATATTGGAAAGCGAATTGGGGTTTCAGCTTTCTGTCATTAAAAGTTCAACTTCGGACATACTGTGAATATTAATTTTATTTTCAAAAATTTACATTTTTGTAGGGTGAACTACTTGTCAATCTGCCGGACACTCTACTCCTGAATTGGCTTTTTCATTGCTTAGCAGACTGCTATGCTGTAATACCAGCACTTGTGAAGTACTAGAACTTGTTTGTGAAAAATGAAGGTTTTGCCCGCAGCTTATACGTGAGAACATGATACAATTTGTGAGAAGGCAGTCTCGGCTATCTTGATAGTCAGCAACGGATAGTTCTTGATTGTTATGGCTGTTCTTGTTATACGAACAGCAAGGTGTTGGCATTGATGGACTAACCTATACACGAACTGGTAACATTTGAGTACTTCAGTACTTCATGATAATCTTGTTTTTACCTTTTTAATGACTCTTTTCATATCTGAAATCTCATCCCGGCTTTTGCAGGAAGATAGTTGGTGGAATGAAGAGCTAGTGAAAATTATGTTAGATAGCAATGGCTGATTGATAGTAAATCCATCAACTTGGACTCAGCATGACAGTTCAAACAAACTGGAAGCCTTGAAAAACTCGGTTAAAATTCTTCCTGACATAATAAGTTGCCTTCAAATATCTTACAGGATTTTTAACAGAACCCCCAAAGTCTCCATATATTTTTTTCGACTGCATGTATATATGTGATGTCATGCACTGACCCATTTAATTACCATAAATCATGGTGTTTGATAAAGAAAGTGTTAGCCAGTGAATTGACATATTTTGTTCGACATGTTTTTTTGTCCAACCAGATGATGATGATAGTTTAGTTTAGTGCAACAAAGTGGGATTCCTGTACCATAATGCAGATAAACTGGATATGCATTTATAAGAATGAAGATGAAGTCTTGTTTTTGTTAAACTGTACAAATTTGCATGGTAAAATTGCGAACTGTACTGACCTCTTGTGAACACCATGTAAGATTCAATGTGGAAGAGAGAAGTAGAGGGAAGGGCATATATCGTCTGCTAACTACTTATATTATTCATCTGTGTAGTCTGTTTATTTATTTATTTATTTATTTGCTAAGTGAATTTGTAATAACTATTGGAAGATGCGTTCGCGAAAAAACTATTCGAAGATGCAAACGAATGAATTAACTATAAATTAACTATTAAAAATGAATTTCAAACATTTATTTTAGAACTAGATAATTTATAATAAGTATGGATCCTAAAGTCATTAATATTCAAAACAAAATCAACCCGCACAGTGCCGGTGCCAAACCCGTTTCGTCACCCCCCCCCGCCCCCCCAACACCGGCCTCGCCTTTCTCTTCCTCCCGACCCACCGCCGGCGACGCCACTGCAACTATCTCTCTCCCTTTTCCTCCGCCCAGCGCCGCTCGCCGTCCTCCGTAACCCCGCTTGGACAGCCAAAAGGCTTTCATATCGTGCTCGAGTAGTTCGTCGGATTTGGATTTGTTTGCTTGGGGATCTTTGCTCTGTGGTTGCAAACTTGCAACAATATTCAGCCATCGTGCCGGTAGCAATGTAATTCGTGGGTTATATATAACTTATAATTGCAATTAGTTGCATCAGGAAAATAAGTACGGTTAGTGTTCCAGGATGAGAGGAGTGCAAAGGTTTGCATGTTTGATTTCCACTAGTTGGATCAACATAGACTTGTCTTATTTAACAAGTAATTTGCCCGTGCTAACGCTACGGTAATGGTTAGTAATGCGGATCAAATATGTGTATCTAAGTATACATGATGACTGATGGGTGGTATAGAGATACATATATCATATATAACTTACCATTGCCCTTAAATTATAAATTATATATTCAGGAATATAAATATAGGCAAAATATATAAATAGTAGAATTAATATTTCCTTAATAGAGAACATATGGAAAATGATTTTATTATTTCCGTGCTATAAACACATCTCCATCTACTACATCACGCAACAAACTAAGCCTAGCATTGCTCTAGTTTTCATTCAAGGCACTAAACGAATATAAGATTAGGGCATCCAAGAAGTGCCCCAGCGTAAAAAGTTGGTAAAAGATTCTTAACTCTTATTCGGCATAAAAGTTTAGCATTGACACCACTCAACAATTTAAACCAAGAGCGCCAACTTAGATCAGATGCAATGCAATGGTGACACAGCTCAGTAGGTCTTGCACGCTTGAATGCTAGACATTGACCACTCCAATCCTTCAGTTATATGCAATCTTGTATACTTGAATTTCAATCCTGTAACCCTGAACAAAAATAATATATATGCTCAAATAAATATCTTCAATTTCAATCCAGTACATGGCCAAGGCAAAGAATAGCAAAAGAATTAGAGCAGATTACCAGATTGAGTGAAAATAACAGGATTTCTGCACTCCCCTGTGTTACATGCCTGACATATATTGTGGCATTCGATCGTAGCCCAGATCAATCTGTCCCACAGGATAAAAAAAAACATCAGAATGCAAATAAACAAGAGATGCTAGCCAGTATAATACTGATTTGGTGCTGCAAAATTTCCTTGGAGCAAACTGTATCCTGCTGCTGCCTGTTCATGTCCATTGGTACTGCCCTGCAAAATCAATTGGAAGCAAGATCTACTGCAAAAAGGAAAATGTAATTGCAGGAGAACAGAGATTGGCCAACTCACAGCATGGTTTCTTGGTCCTTGATTGGGTACATCATATTATCCTCCATCCTCTGATTAAACCAAAACAAAAATTCCCACTCAAATTTAAAAAACATAACCGCATATCAACCCCAAATCAAATGAAGTCCCAAATCCAGCTATACAAGAGCAGCACAAATTTGTTGGATCTGGAGAACTAATATCTAAGGGCATTGTGTTGGTTTTGGAGAAGAAAAAAAATCCGGATAATACACGTATGTGCAATTGTAGATAGCGATAGTACCTGGCCGCGAGGTACACACTCACCAGGCCGACCACAGATCCCCCTTTATATGGTTGTACTGTTCTAGTATGCATTTAGCAAAAACATTTTTTGAATTCCTCATAAAACAGAGAAATGTCAATCTCTGGACCATAGGACCAGAGATGGGGAACCGAATTCACTACAAATTAAGGAACCATCTGTTTAACTTTGCAGATAGATAAAAAGAAAGTAGATAAACTTTATAAAGGTTGTCAAGGAAATATCATAAATAAATCCAAATTAAAGGTCACCATATCTGACAAATTAAAGCTACACTTGATCATAGACAAATTCATTAACCGGGCTCGCTAGAAAAATCTGAGATTGATTTGGTAGCAAACTGCACAATAGTGCAATGAACGCACGGGCATACAAGCACCTAGAGGAACCGATTTCAGATAGGTTCAGTTGGCATTATAAAACAATATGCAAACACCTGAACAAGCACCTAGAGGTCAGTAGTGCAGATGATGCGTAGCATGACTACATAGTAATGCTGGTAGTACTTACAGCTTACTTAGAAAATGAATAGACACATAGAGAACCAAATTTGCCGCACTCAATGTATCACCTCTGAGTCCTTTTTGTTCAGAAGCGAGGAAGGAATCAATAAGGGAGTACTGCAATGTTAAACAAACCAACAGATCAAATCCCTAAGTAAGAATACACAATTTCTTAATATATATAGGAAATATATGTTCAAATCCCAAAATGTGAGTCATGTTTTGTACACCCAGTCATCAATTTCAGTAAGGAAATTATATTTCTCATAGGCATATGGACTCGATTATTACATAATTTGAGTATAAATGAACAGAATAAACTTGCAGGGATGTGAGCGCATATTACTTGCATGTAAGGACCTTGTTGATATTGGCCTGCGTCGATAGTTGGATTGGGCTGCACTGAACAGCAATAAGATGAATTTCATGAGCATAAACGGGTAGGGGTGGGCATTTGGTCTAACCGAAAATTTTGGTCTCGGTCTCGGTCTTTCAGTCTTTTCGGTCTTTGAAAAGTGAAGACCGAATTTCAGCGCAAAAATGTTAGGACCGACAAATTCGGTCTCGGTCCTAACCGAAATTCAACAATATTTTCATATATGCAAAGAAATAATGGAAATTTTCAACACAAAAATCACAAAAAAATTTCGTAAGCACTTATGAGTAAAGACTCTTGTTAGGTTGCATGCCTAGAAGAAGTAGGGATGTGAAAATTAGAGTTCAATCCTATTAAACATAGTGGATTGTAGGTTGCATTTAGACGTTTTTTTATAATTCGGTCTTTTCGGTTAACCGAGGAGACTAACCGAATTGACCGAACAAAATTCGGTCTTTCACTACCTAGGACCGAATTGATGACCGAATTTCTCGGTCTCGGTCTTTTCGGTTCGGTCTTTTTCTGCCCACCCCTATAAACGGGAATATAATATTGACCAAATGTAAACCTCACTCTAATAACACAAACGGTTCCATTTATACAAAAGTCTTCTTGTTTTTATACTCACTGTTTGTATTCTGATTTAATATTGCAAGCTATCATTATGTCAGGCAATAACAAGCATCCAAACTCATGTGCTAAAAGGCTGCAAATACGTAAGTATTTTTGTGGAAAATCTTAGTATACTACTTCCTCCGTTTCACAATGTAAGACTTTCTAGCATTTCCTATATTCATTTAGATGTTAATGAATCTAAACATATGTGCGTGTTTAGATTCATTAACATCTATATGTATGTGGGCAATGCTAGAAAGTCTTACATTGTGAAACGGAGGGAGTATATGTCAGAATTTTTTTCCCTGATGGTAAATTTCAGAAGCATGCCCCCCCCCAAAAAAAAAAAAGAAAACCAGAAACACGGTTGTCCAAGTATATGAAATTCATATACAATATAAGCCAAATTCAGAAAAACATAATCCAATTGTAGAAGTTATATCATGCAGATAGTGCAATTCAGTTTATATTTCATTATAATGGCCATGATCAAAGGATAATTCATCAGCTGAATGAAATACATAACTGAATGAAATTGTCACAAGAGAAGGTTTCCAATACTCACCTTGGAGAGAGCAGATAGCATGACAATCCTGATGGGGAAGGGATAATTTTGATTTGGAATAAATTTAGCACAATATCTACCTAAATGAAATGAAACCAAATCAGCGAGAGAGATTGAAAAGAAAATACCGATGACATCCTAAATGCAACAACCAAATTCAGTTTGAATGTTTTCATCAGTATCTTCACAACTCGGGCACTACCATAATGAGCTGGTTTCAATTTTTCACAAAAAGGGATTCTGAAAGGGCAAAATTTGCTACAGGACACTTAAAAAACATGTAATTAGCCGTGAGACACTGTAAAAACGAGACACGGCTAATGAACACTACAAAAATTATGTAATTGGCTATAGGACACCGGAGACAATATTTTATAATATCCGGATCAAAAGAGGCAAGAATTTTTTCGAAATGGCAAGATTGCCCCTGGCTCCATCTTCCTCCACCTGAAATCACACACACAAAAAAAAAGCAGGGAGCAGACGCCGCCGAGGTTGTCGACGGCGAGGTTGGCGACCGCGCGCCAAGAGCGGCCGACGGCGCGGAGGCGGACGCGGTCGGGGAGGGAACGCGAGGCCGGCGGCGTGGAGCGCGAGCAGGAGGCGGCCACTATCGTCGCCGTGGTTTGAGCCGCCGTCGCCGCAGTCCAAAGCGTCGATGCCTTGCCGTGCCGTTCCTCCTCCGCCGCCCAACCATACCACGGCCACCACGTGTGAGCGCCGCCGTCATCGACCAATCCATGGATAGAGCTCCACTTTTCTCCACACAAAACCAAGCTCTCTCTCTCTCTCTCCTCATGCCGTGTCAAGCCAGCCACCGGTCGATCTCATTCCTCAGAGCCCCGCTGGCCATAACCTCTCACCATTAGCCTTGCCTCGCCGAGGAGAACCCATTTCATCCATTTCCCCTTTCACTTTTCCACCACTTTGAACCATCCCCCAACCTCTCTCTCCTCCCGGTTAACGGCCTTGCACTCGCCGTTCCGGCCATTTCCCTCACTCCCTCGACCTACTACCACCCTCCCTTGTTGCGCCGCACTCGGGAACATACTCCGCCGCCGGCGTCGTCGTCTCCCAGCCACCGGAGCACCGGCGCCATTCTCTACCTCCTCTCGGTTCCCTGGAAAGAGGCAGAGAAGTAGATGACGGGAGGAAGAAGAGAAAGAAAAATAAAAAGGAGTAGAGAAGGATTGAGAAAAACAAAAAGAAAAAAAATCGAAGGGTAGAACCGTACTTACACAGTTGTTTCTCTCTCCAATTTCTTCGGATATAATAAAATAATCTCGCGGGTGTCCAACAGCTAATTACCAGTTTTTGTGGTGTCCTATAGCAAATACACGTTTTTGTGGTGTCTCACAGCTAATTACACGTTTTTTGAGTGTCCTGTAGCAAATTTTGCCTTCTGAAAAAGGGCGGGTTCATGAGATATTTGACCATATTTATTCAATGGTTGCCGTCAATTCACATATATGCAGTCTAAATCTATGATCTTAAGAAAATAATATTGGCTTTGAATTAGTCTGCGAATTAGTTTCGATATCTTTAGACAACCTTGAGGACCTGGACCACTTTCAGAAATAAAATGTATGAATGGTCCAAATATATGTTGTAGCTAAAGGGCAGTGGCAGCCACCAGATTATGTAATGGCATGTTTACATGTAACACATAAAAATTTAAGATGTTCAATCCCATTTCAGTAATTGATGTATGTGCAGCACAGCAGTGTAGTTAATTTTAGAAAAAAAATACTTTACCCTGAAAGCCATGAACACATATATTACCCAAGAACATCTGCTCCATGTACTACATGATTTCTTGCAGTGTATGAAGCGTAATGTTCTGTTTCTTTCAGGTAGCTTTAAATGACAGAAACAAAAGTAATTAGTTTCTCAATAATTTGGTCATCCTCAACGGATGTTGTACAGTATAGTTCTTTCTTCAGCGCACCAGAATTTGTTGAGTTTCCACCATCATATGTAACACTGGCCAGAAAGCTTATGCATAATTCTACCCACCTTGAAACCCAAATTTTCAAGGTTTGCTAGACGAAAAACCTCCATTGCTTGTCAAAACACATGGTAAGTAAACTATTGAAGCCTCGAGATGCCTCATGCCACGGAGTAATTTTTTAGTTTGATCCCAAAAAACAACTAAATGTATTAATAAAGAGGTGAACATTTTCTGTTGTGAAACTGAATAGCAGCTAAATGTTTTTGGCAGCAGGGCGACTGATTGAGGAGTGGCGCTGGAGTGGATCATGTGTACCTTTAGAGGGGAGACTTGCATCGCGACGGCAACGGAGATCGTGACCAGCGGAGTGGACTGCGTCGCGGTGGCGAATCGGTGGGGACGGCAAGAACTGCACGAGGGAGGGAGAAGGCAGCGGCGTTCTCGGAGTCCGCCGCGGAGTCCTCCCTGTGCCAGCGACGGTTCGACGGAGGCGGTGGCGGCGGGGGACTGGACGCCGTATTGGAGCATAAATAAACATGCCTTTTGTTTCAGCTAAAAACCTACTAATGTATCGTACAAAACGTAAAAGTTGCTTCACAACCAATAAATACCCAGATTTATTTAACAGAATCTTAGTCTATCCAGAATCTACACAACAGCGAAATGTGAAACTCACTAGTTAAGATATGACTTATGAGATAACAGTATCACAAGCTGCTAACCAGCAAAAAATGTTTATCCATCATGTCTTATGACTGTTCAGCAACAAAATCCCTAGCTCATTTTATCCATCATGCCTTATACCCTGACCTTATAATCAACCAGCAGAATCTATGCAACAGCTAAATGAGGAACTCTCTAGCTAAACAAAGTCAACAAAAAAGAGAAATCATGCTTAAGAAACATTTGATAGCTGCACAGATCAAATCACTTGCAGTTGCAGTGAACTTGGAACCATACATGTGACAGAGCCATTGAAAAACCTACTGATATTTTTCATGTATCTTGCAAAGCATAGCTAATTAAAGTTTCTTCACAACCTATGGATACCACGATTTATTTTACAGAATTCTTAAATTATCCAGAATCTACGCAACAGCGAAATGTGAAGCTCTCTAGTTAAGATATCATTTACCACACGATGCTAAGCAGCAAAAAATGACTGCACATCATGTCTTATTAACAGAACCCACTAACCCAGCTCCTTTCGACTTTTCGACTTATTCAGCAACACGCGTAGCACATCATGATGAAGCTCAATGGAGCACAATCAATAAGGTTTCACAACCATAATTAACTCATCTGTTATGCAAACACACATTGCAGTAAAGATATAGCAAGCACTTCAGTGGGAAAAAAATTTCTACTCATCATGGTTTAGAAATCAGAACAGTAAACTCATTGTCATCTAAGTCAAAACAAAGCCAGTTCTAATCAAAATCCTATGTAACTCTTTCTTTAACTTTACGAGAGAATTATGTCGTGCAAAAATATTAGTGCCGTTGATATCCTGGAGCAAATTGGAGCATAAAGAAACTGGCCTTTTGTTTCAGCTGATCAGCTCAAACCTGCTGATACGCATGTATCTTGCAAAGCACAGCTAATTAAAATCAACCAGCAGAATCTACGCAACAGCTAAATGAGGAACTCTCTAGCTTAAGATAGGACTTATGAGATAGCCGTACCACAAGCTGCTAAGCAGGAAAAAATTGTTTATCCATCATGCCTTATGACTGTTCAGCAACAAAATCCCCATATAGAGCTTATTTTGAGTTTAAGACTGATTCAGCAACACCCATATAGCAATATCAAAAATATCAGTACCTGTAGCAATGATGAAACTAAACTAGAACATCAGAAACAAAAATCATATGTATAGCAATATCATCACAAAATGCAACTCCGATGTCAAGTGCTTCTGTCCCTTCAAGCCTAGCTCCAAGAGCATCAACATATTATCTATCAAAAGTTCAAAAGCCAGGCAAGGCACATATTCAATCATTTTCAAAAAGGGATAGCAAGAACAAAAAACAAACTTCAGTGCTGATCGATCATCATCGGAAACATATCAGGACCACATGACCTATTTGGTGAACAAAAAATTGCTCAAATCCACAAGTTCACCATTTGGGTCATGTGCACCTGAACCAAAAAAGGCTACCTGTTTCTAACTAGAGTAACGATGTAAGCAGCTCAATGTAAGTAAGGAACGCAACGTTTATGTACTCAATTCGCAGTGGTTATAAGGCCGGAGTTTAGTCAGAGATGGCGGACACCGTCCTGTCACCGGCGTCGCCTAGGCATCGCTGTCGGGAGGAGTGCCCGCAGGAGCGACCCAAGCAGCTTCCTCTGCAGCCTCTGCATACAACGCCGCATCAGATGTGGAGTCAGGTGGCGCGTGGCGAAGCCTCTGCTCCTGGATGTCTGGCCACAGCTCCTGCGGAGCCACGACTCCGGTGCTCGCCCGCAGTGCGAGCTCCCTCCCGAGCCGCCTCAGGATGTGCCGCTCGGTGTGGCCCGCGAGCGCGGCGAGCTGCAGACGCGCGCGGGCAATGTCGCGGCGGAGGAAGCGCCGTCCCTCGTCAGCGTCTCCCACCAGATCGAGGCTGATCCCGGGCGGTGCATCCATGCCTGCTGGAAGCTTCAGTGCCCTCGCGAGAACTCCCTCGACCTTGCCTGACTCCGTCCCGCAGACCAGCAAGTCATGTCCCATGTCCCGGACGAGAGCTCTGAGATCTTCCCGCCGCTGCAAAAGACTGATGGCACGCGCCCGGAGGATACAAAGCTCCGGCATCCCGATCACGCACCAGGTCTCCCTCGCAGACAAATCATCGAACAGTATAGGTGCGTCCTCGAGCGGGTAACAGCCGGAGACAACAACTACCACGGACTTGTCCGGCTCGAGATCGGCGAGGTCCCCCAGGCGCACCAGGCCTTGGAGGCTGGAGATATAGTCGACCAGGCGAGGGGGAGGAGGTAACGCGGGGGCGTCCATGGCGGCGAGGCGAGGGCGCGGTTGGGCGCGTCGCGTCGCGTGGGGATTCGAAGCGCGAGAGCGAGGCGAGGCGAGGCGGGCGAGTCTTCCCACGTGGAATGACCAAGCTGCCCCTCCGCTCCCTGTGTCAACTGTTAAAGTCACTAGAGAGGAAACGAAGAGCGGGCTGGGCTGGGCCGGGCCGGGACTGCAAATTCGTCAGTTTGTATCGGACCTAAAATTCTAGATTTTTTTTCATTTTTAGATTTTTTTAAAAAATATTTACAGAAATAATCTATCGGCCAAAAAAATTATAAAAATAGACCCTGCCGCCCACTCTGGGGCGGCAAGCTGACGTGGCAGACGGCGGGTCGACCGCACCGTCTGCCGCCGTCGGCCAAAATTGCATTTAGCCCCTCGGCAGCCCATAAAGAGCTTGGGGTTTGTACTTTTTGCATTTGGGCCCCTTGCCACCCCACTAGAGGGCGGCAAGGGACCCAGATGCAAAAAGTACCCCCAAATGATTTTTCTATATTATATTAATAATAATTAAAGAAGTATTTATTGGTAAAACTTGTTAATATTGTTATAAAAATGTATTGAAGTTGGTTGTTTCGCAATTTCATATGTTAAGTAAGGTATTATTTTGTAACTTTTTCGACGTATTAGTACTCGGATAATTGATATAGGCCTATCGCAGTCTCGGTTGTAGAAACATTATATGGACTTAAACAAGGAGAATTATGTAACATAAAGAAATAGTAGTACAATTTGAACATGATACAACTATTTCCTTTGCGGTTACATAGATGATATTAGATTCGAACTAGCAGGGAGGTAGTGCAATAGTTGAACACAACGACGATGTAGTAATGGGACAAGGAAGCATGACAGTAGAAATTTCAATTTGCCAAGTTGTCCGATAATAGCTAACCCCTACGTGAGGATCCCTCTCCTCTCTCAAACCGCGCTTTAGTAACCCTGTATTGCTCTGGTAGTTCAAGTTGCACAACATGGCTAGGTAGAGTTAGAACCCTTCTGGTGTCTATCCATTCTCTGTATTGACATCTCCTTGGTGGTTCCTAGGAGGAAATAATAGATGTGAAGCGAGCAAAGTTAGTAAATGTTGTGAGAAAATAAGGATTCATGTAATCAAAATATTCTTACCATGAAATCGTCGTCAAGAATATTTGGACAAATAAAGAACCTTCGACCCAATGTTCTAGGCTTTATGGAACGAAGAACCTGACAACGATCACCACACCTGCATCTTGGACAGGCTTCCCATGGAGAGAGTGCCGTAGTTAGCACCCGCCAGTCGCACTGTTGTTCACGACATTGTCGTTCGTAAGCCGCTTTTCTATGTAAGTATTGCTCAGTACTTTCGATGCGAAATACCAGCGACCTTCTTGTAAACAAGTGGTTAGGTCGAGAACAGGATTTTCTGTATCGACCCACTCGATGTATGCGCAAGCCGTAGTGCGGGTCTGCCGAGTAGAGTAGTGTTACGAAGAATAAAACGATTGCCCATATGGAATGAATAAGCATATGCAGATAGTAAAATACCTCACGGTCATAGTTAGGACACCTAAAAAAGCTCCTTCCTCGAATATCAGGATTCATCAAAGCCATTAGTTGGCATCGATCACCACATAGGCAGAGAGGACGCTGGCACCAAGGTGGTAGTAGGTATACACAAGGATCGCTACGCCAGTTCGGATCCTCAACGCCCAGGCGTCTAGCCATTGACGAAAGCCGGTAGGATTTGTAATGAAGCAAGTGGGGAAGAGAGTACTGAATGTGACTGATTCTGAAAGATTGTGAGGCCTCGCTCGTTAAGGCGACTTATATAGGCACCAAAAATTGAGTGATATCCCTGACATGTGAACGTGGCGGGGCATGGTGGGTATGCCTGATTGGCGCCGAAAGTTACATGCCTGATTGGCGCCGAAAGTTACATTGGTCGTATGCGGCAAATGGCGGGCAAATACTCGTATCACACGCGAATAAAGGAGGCTGCATCTGTGCGGCAAAAAGTAGTCATGCATGCGCCGAAAGGTATCGTGCATGCGCCGAAAGGTATCGTGCACATATAACAACAACGTATTCATTACACAAGCATACAGTACTAGCATGTGAAGCAAATAAACAAAGAGAAGTCTGCTCTACTGGCCCTGCCCCGCGCCGCGACCACGCTTGGTCCTCCAGGCCTGTGCTCGCACATAGTTCTGGGAGTAGGTGAAACGATCCGGTGGCACAGCACGGGTAGCACGTGTGTCTGGCGGCGGAGTGGCCTGCGCCTAGTCCTGCGTCTGCACCGGCGGTGCGCCTCCCAGCTATGTGAATCGACAGATGTTGCAAATTATTGTGGACAGGTAGATTTTAATGCAACAAATCAAAGCGTAGTGAAAGATCTTACCGGTGAACAGCAGCTGGGACGGTCATCGGAAACGGTACTGGAAAGAGCTGACGGAAGCCAAACTGCCACATCACACGGAAAGGGGCGTGAGGCTCAACGCAGATGTCGAAGACCATCGGAACCGTAGTCATCCAGTACGCCTGGTCCCTTGTGCAGAGTGTGGACAGACCCAACGGCGCACGAGCCTGGGTAGCCGCGGCACTGTAGGGCTCCCACACGACGTTAGTCGGCAGAAGGCGGTCGAACTCCATAACAAACTCAGGATACGACCGCCTAACCTGGACGTGAGCCCATCAGCGCTGCAATACGAGACGATCGATGTGATGTACAATGAACTTAGCAATGAACTTAACAATAAGAGAAGATCGATGCAACGTACCTGACGACGGCACCACAGAGTACCCATCGTAGGGTAGTCGACCTCCGGTCGCTCCACGTACAGTGACTCCCCGTATGCGTGTTGGTCCACCTCAGGGCAGCCGATCGCAATCCTCTCAGCTACCCAGATAGAAAGAAAGAGAGGGCACCCACCAAAGGTCGCGCTGGGATCCGTCTTCGTGCAAGCCTCACAAAGGCCACGGTACAGAGCCGCCAACAACGCGGAACCCCAGCTCCACTGAGGCACCTCGCCTACCGCGGTGTCGGCGATGCTCCTGGCGTAGTGCACGAGTCCCTTGTCGACCGCGTGCCCGTGACCGCCACAGAACATCACCCAGCCAAAAAGCTAGAGCAAGCACGCCTCCAAACAGCGGCTGTAGGAGTACTCGTCGGCCTCCGCCTATAGCTGCTCGACCTGCAAGCGTTCGATAAAATGTTAGGCACCTTACCTTACGACTAAATATGTAGTACGCTTGTCATTTCGGTACAAAAACACTCACGGTGAACTGAAGCAGCCACCTCCTCGTAGGTCCGGTGTTGCGGTGGTGTGCCAACGGCTGGAGCGGGAGATGTGGTGCGCGCTGTACTGGTGCGAAACGTGCCGTCAGATCGTCCTTCCAGTCCACACACGTGGTCACTGGCCCAATAGCGTCTCCCGCGAGCGGTAGCCTCAACAAGTACGATACGTCCTGTAGGGTAGGGGCTACCTCACCGCATGGCAAGTGAAAAGTGTGCGCCTCTGGCCTCCATCGGTCGACCAAAGCTGCTAGGAGGGACCGGTCCACATTCCAGCGTCTGGCCGGGTCTGCGTCGCCGGCGGCAGCCTCCACCAGCCGACACATCGGTAGGAGGCCGGCCTCACGCAATCTGCAATAACAAATTAATATGTCATTATAAAAATTATTACAGCGCAACTAATTTATAGTAATACACTGTTCGTACCTCTCGACAAAGGAGTCGTGAACTGTATGTAGCTCACCGCACGTCCGTGCCCGGAACGTCCCAAGCTGAGCCCCCTGCACCATAGTAAGGTGAGACCGGTGTCGGTGATCTATCGCCGGGTCCAACAACTCAGGTGTATCCTGACGTGCCATCTCTGAAAAATATAGTGTTTCATGTTAGAACAATTCAAAAATTAGTAATGTAGAACAAAAGATAACTTGTAAAATTATGAAAAAGTAATAAAATCATAAGAATTATTATGTACAACAAGAGTACAGACTATTTAAATATAGCAAACGTTACTAAGGGTACATAACGATGACGTGCAATTTAACATATATGTAGAGTTCGATAATATAACATAACAAAACATAACATTACATGCCGAAGTCCGACATTACATCAGCATACCTAAAGACACGGGTGCCTAAGTCTGACGTTACATAACGAGACCTAAAGACATGACATGCCGAAGTCTGACATTACACGACGAAACATAAACACATCGATAAGTTCGAAACAAATTACAAGCAAAACCACATGCCAACATAGAACAGAAGAACTACACCACATAGCTAGACGTGGCACGACGACGCCTAGGACGTGGTCGAGTGGAGGTAGTGCCTTCACCCGTAGGGCGAGCTCCATCTGCTGCTGATCCTGATAGTCCTGCCTCCTCCGCACTTGGTTTCTCCTTGTCTTTAGGACAATGCTTGTAGGTGTGCCCACGTTCATCGCATTTGCTGCAACGCTTCACCCTGCCAGCCTCCGACTCATCCATATCGTTGCGGATGCGATGAGTCTTCCTCCTTCCAGCCTTGCCTCAAAGCTTCGATTGGTCAGGAATATTGAGTACTTCATCGTTAGTCTCTGTGAACTCCCCAGCTATGCCGAACCCATAAATCTCGCCGCTCCATGTATGATATACTGCTTGCTTACTGAAGTACCGTGACACATATACTGCATCTGGTATGCCACACTCCGCTGCGGCAGCAATGACATGGGTGCATGGCCTGTGGAGCAGCTTCGGCTTTGCACAAGAGCAATGACATGTGCCGTCGGCTTTGAGAACACACTCCTGCTTCACTCTCTTGCGGTAGATACCCCTGCCTGCCTTATCTTGACATAGTATCTCAAACTTGTGCTGTTGGGTACCTTGCACTAGAGCTCGATGTTTCATGGCCTTTTTACGCAACTCCTCTAGCTTTTTCTGCATGAAAGTTCTGAATAAAATGCTGTTGTTCGGCATAGAGGGAAGAACTGCTTGGAACCGATCCCTAAAATACCTGCATGTCCCATGTAAAATGAACTCCACGGACACCGCGCATCACCTAGTTGTAAACTTCTGCCAAATTTGTTGTTATTATTCTATATCTAGCACCACCTGTGTCATACGCCTTGGCCCATTTCTC